ACATTGAAAAAAGAAGCAATGGAATAGATTTGGTTTGTTTATTTTGGGGTGTTTCATTATGTGGGATGTACAGATTTTGAAAGCTCCATCCTTTCATGTGTAGCAGAAAGTCCACTCATTTCTTCAGAGTCCTTCACAAACATAATTCATGTAACTTTTAATAAATACAATCATCTCTAGCACATTTCACATGTCAGGTCAACAGATATGTTAAGGCAATGTAAGTCTGGGCAGGAGGTCAGATCTACTGTACATCTCTTACAGCAAACACCTGAACAGATTCCTGTCGCGTAAACTGACCTAATGAAAACAACGGGTTTCCATGACGTCTAGGAGCACCAGTGATGAACATGTGAATCTTTAAACATGAGATGAAGCAGCACTTCCAGTCAGAACAACAACTTCTAAGACCACTTGGTTTCTTGCATAGTTCTTGTGTCACTCTGGTCAAAGCAGTTTGGAAGGTTGGCAGCTGCAGCAGTTCCAGAGGTTTTATGAAGTGGCAGCACAAGTTTGGGGTTTGGGAGTTTAGGGGTCTTCCTCTGGGTTTTCAGTGGCTCACAGGAGCTGCCTGTCTTTGTTGGAAAACCTCGAGCTCACGTTTGTACCAATCAGGAGCCTCCAGGCCGTTCTTCCCCAACGTCTCGTGATCGTAACCGTAGGCAACCGTGAGCTCTTCGTCTTTCTGCACAGCTCTCAGTGTTCGGATGCACTTGATTGATCCAAAACGAGGGTGGACAAACCTGAGCATAGACAGATATACATAAGAAACACAAACTGAAAATGCAAAAAGATCGACGCACTGGAACTACAGATATTTCCTGGTTGCTACAGATAAAAAAACATCATCGTATCAAAGATGGATTGCACTTTATAGCAGTTCTGTTCCTTGAGAAATGTTGACTGAGGTCTGATCTGGTGTTTGTGTTCTAGACCTCTAAACCGTGCCTCAGACTAAATCTCCTTACATGTGGGATGTGCAGTCACAGCTCCACAACCCAATTTCAATTTACACAGAAAACATATATACACCACGTTTCAAATTATTATGCAAATTGGATTCAAGCGTCAGAAAGATAAACATTTTTTGTTGTGCAATTAAATTTATAGATGGTGTGTGTCAGGGCTCTTTGAATCACTATAATAAATTTCAGAGCTGGTTGATTAGTTTGTCTGATGAGCTCAATTAAAGAAAATCTAATTAAGAAGAATGTTCCACATTATTAAGCAGGCCACAGGTTTCAAATAGTATGGAAAGAGAAAGGATCTCTGCTGACCAAAATCATCAGATAGTGTAGTGCCTTATGACAAGATATGAAAACATTAGATATTTCATATAGTAACATTTTACAGCGCAGTGCTATCAAAATGATATATGCATCAAATATGACTTGAAAAGAAATCTGACTTTGTAATTTAACCCCTTAAAATTAAGCCTCTGTCTCTTTAAGAAAGTCCTGGTCTTTCCAACTCTTCCCTCCAGGAAGTCAACTCTTCACCAGCTTTGTACTGAGAAGTAGCTCATGTTATGTAATCAGCAGATGTACCGTTCCATCAGGTGCATGCTAATAGTTCCTGGCTAGTCTGAAGGAGCTGAATGGGGGAATCATAGAGCTGTGTCTCAAAGGCAGTGCTAGATCCAACCAGGCATTTTGCATACCTAAATGGTTGCCATGGAGATGAAAAGATTTCTGAGACATGCATGAAAGACGGATGCAAGTCTGTATGTTTTTGATGAAGCGATAAAATTGTAACATGACGTAAAGCTAAAACAGCTAATTTTTCATAACTTGGCCTTTAAATACCTTCCAGAGTCTCTGTCCTTCCTGTGTCTTCATTTAAACATCAAACTGAAACAGAAAATGGCTTCTCACAGTCATAACTTCTACGTTGTTGTACAATATGCCAGCTCTTAAGTATGGTGTATTTACTGGTTAGAAGATTATTGGAATTTTTTGTTGGATTGGTTGATGACCAAACCACGTTAACCAAGCAAAAAAAAAAAAAAAAAACAAACAAACAACAACAAAAAAAATCATCTGATTCTGAATAGCTTGAATGATGCATTGCATGGAGCGGAGTGTCTGATCTGCTTATATTTTAAAAGTTGACAGTCCTCCTTCCTGTCATTTCAACTTACGGCTCGTATTGGCAGTTGGGAGTGAAGGAGTGGTTGGCCTTGTGACCCAGGGAGGCGCAGTACCTCTCCGTCTTGTCGAACGGTTGTGGGACATCGATCACAGTGTCGTCGTCAAGTGAGATGGTGTTTCCATTTAGAGTCCAGTCCCGACTGTCCACCTAACAAAGCAACAACAGTCCTTTAGGAATCATTTTTCATCAATAAATCAAATTTGCTACGTTTTATGTCAATTTTCCCTTTTAGAATTCCAAACGTGCTGCTTCGTTTCCATGGAAGCAGCACGCCATACCTCTGAGTGCGTGATCCGGACTCCGTTATAAAAAGCCATGACAGTCCCAGGCTCAGCAGCTGCCTTGGCAAACAGTCCCTGACCGGCTCCTTTAATCAGAGACTCTGCCACCAACACCCTGACAGAGAGGGAACACACAAGGTTCCGAATGGTTCTGGTTCTGTTCCGGCTCATTGGAACAACTGTTGTCATTCCGCAGTGTGACATCATCACACAGAGCAGCCCTACCGTTGGCTCTCGTATGGGTCCGGCAGCAGAGGGTGGGTGGTGATGCAGGTGGAGGTGGACTTGTCATAGGAGAAGACAGGACCTGCAGGTCACATGAAGTCATCATGTCACCAACATGTCTCTGCCGCACTTCCTGTTTGAGTCCAGCTAACTGCATTCACACTTTTTCACATAAATTATTCATAGAAAACAGTAACAAACACTATCGGAATTAAATAAAGAAGAGACCTTTTACAAATAACAACCATTACGAGTGACTGAAGATGAGATGAAATCTTACTGTTTGGAGCGATTTGGAAGCGTGGCCTTCCGGTCTGGTTGGAGGTCAGTGTGGCGAGGTGAGCCTCGATGATCTCTCCGTCCACAAAGCTTCCATAGAGAGCCGTGCAGCCATCTGGGTAGATGTAGGCTATGGAGCTGCCAGTCATCTCTCCATCCTCATTGACCTTCCCGAACACACTGCCCCCATCCTAACCACAGCACACACCAACACACACACATATGAGATGGCTGCTATCCTTCAGACTACAGAATCATTAGTGCACTCATTTCACTCACAGGATAGTAGATCCAGCACTCCCCACAGCGGATGTTGTCTTTGTACTGACCCTTAAAGACAAGGCGGCCATCTGCGTCCAGCTCCTGAGCTGGCCCGTTGAGTTCACCGTCGACATACGTCCCATGGAGTACACCGCCGTCCTCATGTGTGTACAGCCCCTGGCCCTGCAGAGCATCGTCAACGTAGAAACCTTCCAAGGTGCTGTGGACACAAAACAGACAGCTGCCATGTGTAGGACAAGTTGCAGGTCTCCGGCCCTCAAGGAGAGGATTTAGAAACCTCCGTGATACAGTGAGTCACTACCTTCCATCAAAGAAGAAGAACTTGCCCTTGCCATTCTTCTCTCCGTGGGTGAAGTGTCCTTCGAAGCGATCACTGGAGGAATAGGTGACTGTGCAGAAACCATGGGGCTGGCTGTCTTCATCCAACGGGCCTACACAAAACACAAATGGGTTCTGATTGGTCGGGCTCAACTATTTGGGATCTTAATCTGACCACATCACGCAAGTTCAAAACATAAACTCACATTTGAACACATGACAGATAATTATCAACTGAATGTTGTTGCATTGTTATGGCAATGCAGCCATGTTGTTTTAATAAATTATTTTTAATTTTTTAATTACTATTGAAAAACAGATTAGCATTCTTGATTTAAAAAAAGTTTGATTAAAATCTTTTGCAAAAATTGTACCAGATATTTTACTTTTTACTTTTGCATTTTTCTCACAACTTCCATCCATCCATTCAGCCCATATAGCGCCCTCTGGTGCCCAACTTTGAAAAATACCGGCCTATATCACAGGTGGTCATAATATATTGCTATGCAGATTTTTGTTAATGATCTCAAAAATTTCCTTAACATTGAGTGATTCTACTGATTTTCAGTATTTGTAAAAAAAAAAAAAAGTAAAAAAAAATAGACAATATAAAAATATAAATAATTTGTGGTGTTTTTTCTACATTCCTTGATCTGATCCTACAACTGCTGTAGTTTTACTGGCTTACAACTCACTGAAGCCCAACAGCTGGAGCCTCTATAGACTCACAGTCAACTTTCTGTCAACTCTAGAAACAAACTGTTCAACAGACAGCAGCTGTTAACAGCAGCAGCGCGTTCAGCGGGGATGAATCGAACAAACTGTATCGTGTTAAACTTCCGGCGGCTGCGGAGCTCTGACTGCACCCACGCCGCTTTCAGCTGCCTCTCGCGCGGATCGCCGTCACAACTCCAGCCCCTGGCGCTGCCCGCTGCGGAGCGGGCCCGGAGTCAGGCCGCCTCATGGAGGCTCGGCTCTGACGCGTTCAGCAGTTAAAGCGGAATCAAAGCGCTCCTTCATCACATCCCCCCGTCAACAGCGCGTGTTGCAGCGGTACAAACCTTCCACCGCCTCCTCCATGCTTTCATCGTCGCTGTCCATGCCGCCGCGGGAGGAAGCCGGCTGATCACGGCACGCAATCCCAGCGCTGTCACCCGTGGGCTGCCGTGGGGCGTGGTAACACATGCCACCTATTAGACACTGAACCCGTTAACTGTTGACTTCACCTCGTTCTTTGAAAATCTCCTTTAGAGGAATCCTGACAGCGCTGCCAGAAAGGCTCCTGCACACAGATCAGACAGGAAGCCATATAAAACTCACACCATGCTTCACTGAAAAAACATTCTCACATGTTTTCCTTCATAGGCCGCAAACAAAAATATGCAACTGAGAATCCAGTCCGTATTTTACAGAGGCAGAGCAGGGCAGAGCTTTTCTGTACAGACATGTTTGGACACAGTGGGATGGATGACTTTCAGTCTTTTCCCAGGAAGTTCCTCCTAACACTTGAGCAAAGTTCAGTCTGCAATGGCAGCAGATTCCCCTGTTCTCCTGGCTGCAGTGACCCTTCTGTCTGCCTTCCAGATGGGTGAGTATTAACTGATATTAAATGAAAAATCCTTATACAAGTACTTGTGTAACCATAACATTACTTTTGCCTCAGTTTGATGTGTTTGCAGTTCGAGCTGTATTGAGTTTCACGCCCGGTTCCTGGTGTCAGTGTGGACCTGTGGGGTGAATGACCCCGGTCATGACTTTTTGCCACATTTTTGCCACATTACAAAATCCACTGGCATGCTTTGGATTTTGTAATATTAATTTTAGATGCATTCTTCTTACTTATATGTTTTGAAAAATAAAAATGCTTTTGCCACAGCTTACTATAGTTGACGTGAGGAGCAGCCACATTGGAACATGAAGCCAGCATTACACTATCCCAAATATGATTTTGGAGGATCTTGCAGTTAAATTTTCCAACTGGGAAGTCAGAATTTTCCAGTTCTGATTACGATTGGAAGGCAGCATTAATTAGATTCTTTTAAAAGTGCCTGCACTCTGAATGGTCATATCATATTTCGTCTAACTTTTACGTCATTGCTGTGCAAAATGCGTCATAATTCTGCAGCAGAAGAAGCCGGATGACATTGGAGTTGCAAACTATTCACACACAAGTCTGACTGCAGTTGTAATATTATGAGGACCATGCAAAAAAAAAATAAAAATCTGATTTCCTCTGAGGTTGTTGCTTTCTAAAACAGTGATTCATTCAAAAAGCATCATTGACCTTTTAGTTAGCTGATTCTTTCATGGTGATATTTTCATCCTTGCATTTACTTCTTATGGCTCTTGTCCACCCGTTTCAACTTGGTTCAAATATTTTTCACTACCAACAGCTTTGTGTTACCAACACCTGTGTTTGGAATGTAAATCACAGGGTTTAATTTTTACCAATGGGACGTTAGAAGTGGCGATAATGCACCAAAATGTGGCCAGACAACCGCCATTGAAGAATAAACTAAACACAAACGAAACTAAAGACAATTTAAATGCTGTAAAGCTATTACCGGACCACCAAAGACCACACAGGCTGGAATGGTTCAAACTGGAGAACAATGGAGGTTCAGCTGACTGGATGCCATTAACAGAAACTGACTGCAGAACAATAGGATGGGGAGCTGATTACTATACTGGATATGCTCTGCAATCAATGTTTATTAGCATGTCTGACACCCACATCATGATGATGATAACACCACTGTAATTTATTGTTTTAGCCAGCCAATAATTAGGGACAAAAGGTTCCTTACTGTCTGTATGTTTTGACATGACTGGCAGGATTCTAACATTTTAAATGTAAAATTTTATAAAATATGTAACCGTGAGGTGCTCTAAATGCCTACAAATGTTTTGTTTTTGAATTATTAACAAAAGGTTGTCTCCTACCATCACTGTGTTCACTCAGGGTACCTGGCCCGGAGAGTTGGATGGTCCAGAATGGCTCACAAGATCCTCCCTCCTGTAGTCTCCGGTCCTCCAGAGTTTGAACGAACTTTTCGTGCGCAGTAAGTCAGCTGCCTGAACAGATTCAAATTTAATGCGCTGGCTTTGGAAGATAGGGAAGAGACTTACCAAATTACAGTGACTTTGAACAGAAAGTGCATCACTTCTAAATTCTGTTAACCTTTTTCGTGTTTTGTGAGTGTTTATGGTTGTGGGGTGTCATAATTTTCCAGAAACCTTTCCGTTTTGGCTCCATGATTGCCTCTGGCCTCCATCTTTGATTCCTCCAAAAGTTGGATTTAGATAATGTTGTTCTGGAAACAGGTTTTCCAGAACAACTTCAAACTTCAACTTTGTACAGTTACCTCATAAGCGCCGCTCATACTTGGAAGCTTTTAAACAGAAACTGTTAGCTTCTGGCGTTGGCAATAATAACCTCAAAAGAGAATGCAACCATCATCTGTTGCCATCAAACTGGTCTCACATGCTGAGAAGACTGCAATGGAAAGAAGCTCTGTTTGGAGAGTGTTCAGACTGGCTAAGTGGTGCCATATTTGAGAATTTTTATCAGGATTTTAGTTGATGGATCACTTCAAAGAAGTACAATAGGGAAAACAAATTTTGATACACTGCAGCTCTAAAATCACCTCTAATGAGCGAACCTGCAGACGTTGCTACATCAGTTTTGTGTGTTTGCAGTCAGAACTGTGTGGAGTTCTACCCCCTGTTCTTGGTGACTCTGTGGACCTGTGGGATGTTCTTCAGCGAGGTGCTAGCAGCAGCAACAGGTCTGGTCTACATGGCGGCCAGGCAGCTCTACTTCAACGGCTACACCAAGTCCACCAAGAAAAGGTTACCTGCCCTCATCGTCTGTCCTAAGAACAAAGCATGTACAGATGTCAGGAGAGCATTGTGATTAGTGAATGGTGTCTGCTCTGCAGGTTACCCGGCTTTTACCTGACCCTGGCTGCACTTCTCATCATGTCTGTTCTGGCTGTGGTCGGAATAACGCGCGGACTCCTGGACAAGTACTTTTACACCCCTATCTGAAGATTTACATCTGTTTCATGTGAAGAACAAACGGATTGCAAATATTGCTTTTATGCACATATGTGCATAAAAGCAATATCAATATTCAAGCGTGTGTTCTCCAAGTGAGTAATCTGTAGGCAGAAGCTGTTCTGATTAATCTCAGAAATTATCAATAATTGTCTAAAAGTGGTTTCTGACCACTGAATGAGTTTTCTGGCCAATTGTTGATTCTTAAAAAGTCTACCATGACGATTCTAATTATTTTTTCTGAAATGTTGCTAAATCTAACAAAAAGTCACTGAAGTGGTGACAGTGGAGTGACTTTTGTTGGCTGGGAATGTGCAGACATGACCTGGTGGATGGTGCATCACTCAAACCTTTCAGATCGGTGGATAAGATTGGCTTCACATTTAAGTATCAGCCAATCATAATGCTCCAAAATTAAGTTTAATAGAGTGTAACTGACAAATTTGTATTAACCAATAAAGGTTTTTTTTCCCCTCACCCAAGTATGTTTTCTCATTTGAATTTAAATTAATGCTGTTAAAACATGATTCTTATGCCTGTCAATTTTTAAATTCCTTTCATTCAGTGAAGGCGTCTCATTAATTCTGACTGGAAATGAGACAGCCTTCTGTTAAAGGTAAGACAATGTAAATGGATTGTAAGTTTAGAAAATAAAGTGTATTTAAATTTCGTTAACATGCATTTATACTATCGGTGGGACTTTGTTAAAATTTTTAGTCGAGTTAATTTTAGGGCTTGTAATTAATTAGGTTTTTAAAGAAAACTACATGTTGACAAAATAAGTAACATTTTCAATTCAAAATTCCATTTTGAGCTCAACAACAAGGATTACTTGCGTACCAGAAACAGACATAAAAAAAATATATTCACTTCGTGATGGTACATCGCCCCCCAGCGGCTAAGCTGCGTATGACTTGTCTAAATCAAACAGATGGTGTCAAACATCAGCTAAGCTAACACGTACCAAGCTTCAAATTGTCTATCGACGCTTCGCAGTTTAGCGCAGCGCCTCTTGTTTTCCCATCACACGGTAGGTATCCTGGCCACGGCTACAGCAGAGGACATGTTGGTTTGTTGTCCCTGATGCTAAGCAGCCTGCAGCTAGCCTGTTAGCATGCTCACAGCTAGTTAGCAGCAGCAGGCAAAGCCCTGACAGCTTCGGCTAAAGAAGCTAACAAGGGTTTTAAAGGATGGTGACCGAGTTAGCTTGTAGACTGTCGGTCTACAATGGCACCGCATTTAGTCAAATAACGACTGTTTGTGTCAAGTTTGAAAAAAATTAGTATAAACGGCAGTGATTAAACAGTATTTGGTGTGGTATTTAAATCACAACAGTAGGAGATCGACTCCTACTGTAAACTCTTTGTAAATGGTTCATCTGAATGTGTGCTCCAGTGTCTCTGACAGTCGCAGCCCTGCATCCCAAAAAGGAAGACGAGTACTTCACCATGAGCTCAGATGATGGTGAGAGAACACACACACACACACACACACACACACACACACACACACACACACACACACACACACACACACACACACACAGTCTATGTTAAGCTGAATGTAAAGAGTGTGAGCTGCTTCATGGCTGCAGGTGACCTGGAGAACCAGGCAGAGCTGGAGGAGAAGACCAGGCTCATCAACCAGGTGCTGGAGCTCCAGCACACCTTGGAGGGTGAGTATGTCTCTCTGCACTCACTGCTAACTGAGGACAGCACCGTGAGAACAAGCCTAACACATCCATTCTGAGATTATGAGTCCACATGGTCCTGGTCAGCATGGTGACTGTGCAACATTATCCGAATCCTAAGTGCAAGTGTTTCCAGTTGGTCAGTTATTCCTGGAATATTATTCCACATTTGTGTGAATCAGCCAGGAGGAAGTGAGGAGTTGCGAGCTGGCAGAGTAACCTGGATGGTGGCAGGCAATGTGCTGCAAACGCATGAGTGGTCCAAACCTCAAAACACACAAATGCAAAACAGAGTCTCATTAAGGATGGGAGGTAGAAAAGGTGAACTAGTCTTATTGAAATGCAATCTTTTACAATATTCTAAAACAGCAGGATATTTATGTAAATAATATCAGCTACTCTAGACTGCCCCTAGTGGTAATGGGGTCTGCAGTTTTACATGTTTGGATTTGTTTAAGCCATTTTCTTTTACTTCCTGTGGTTGCAGTGTTTTTCTGTTCTATTTGTGTTTGTGTGTTTTTGAGTTTTCATCATCCATGTGTGTGCAGCAGCATGTTTGGCTGTTTGCTGAGCGTTTGCTTCTGTCTGCCACCGGAGATCTGAGTTTATTTATAAAGATCACATTGTGGTTAATATACAACCTGAAAAAGATCAGAAGATGTGTTTTTAATCCAGTTGATATTACAAAGCACATTAATCAGTTATGTTTTTTGAACTCAAAATCTTTTCCTTCTCTGAATCGGTGCAGCTACTTTCACAATAGTTGCACATTACCACCTGACATTGTTTACTACCTGAGTCAACGTTTTTCTTCAGTAAGACGAACAGCCTTGCAGATTGATGTACTGGACCGTGTGTGTGTTCCAGACCTGTCTGCCCGGGTGGATGCAGTGAAGGAGGAGAACCTGAAGTTGAAGTCGGAGAACCAGGTTCTGGGCCAGTACATCGAGAACCTCATGTCTGCCTCTAGTGTCTTCCAGACGACCGACACCAAGAGTAAACGGAAGTAGGAAGAACTTCTGACATCACTGAGCCCAGTTGGACCCGGAGAGGTCGCAGCGTCTGGCCTCATGGACTCTTTAATAACATCTAATCTTGGACATAAAGCCATGCGTGAATGTAAATATTGGTATTTATCTTCACATGACCACTAGAGGGCAGTGTTGCTGTGTTTAGATTGGTTCTGGAGACATCAGACTCATAAGCTGGTTGGAAGGAGGAGTCAGCCAGAGGATCAGCAGTGGATTGGACAAGTCATGTTATGATGTAGTGAGCTGTGTTTCTCAGTATTTTAGTTTATGGGACTTTTTTTCCTAGCATAGATTTCAAAACGGTTTGATCAGTTTACACAATTATGCTAGCTTTTTTTTCCAAACACAGGTAGAATTTAGAAAATCCATTTTTAAAACCTGAAGCACTCGAATTGTAAATACTGTGCTATAACCAAGATAAATGACATCACTCAGGTAAACTACATATTTGCTACATAATTTAGTTATGAAGCAGAAAAAAGAAGGGGTAAAAATAAACCTGTTATCTTCATGGCTGCTTTCAAAACTCTGCAGAGTTAATCTCATATGAGAAAGATGTAGGGCTGCAACTAATGGTTATTTTAGCAACTATACTATCAATGATTCTGATGAGTAATCAGACAAAAAATTGGCACATTCTACAAATTTTCCATTTAATCATGTAAGCCATTTTATACATTAAGACAATTAAACAATTCAATTAATTTCAAAATAAATTTATATCCAAAGATGCAGCGCAGTGGCATTCCTTTAAATCTGAACCTGGTTGAAGCTAAAATACTTGAGGATTTTTGTCTAAATATTAATAATGGCGCTTTTATCTTAAATTTGAAATGTCTACATATTATGCAGGATGTATAATAGCCATATTAACATTTTTTTGAGTCAACGATTCGTTGATAATTATTTCAATAACTGATTAATCACAATTTGTCCAATTAATCCTTTCAGTCCAAGAGAAATATCAATGGCAGAAAATCAGCTGAAGATTCTGCGTAGCTGCTGAAGTTGAGCCTGTTTTCCTCATGCTGTCTGATCAGAGCGGTTCGGTCCGTTGGTTCCACAGTACCAGCTGCTCACTCTGAAAGCACACAGCCTGAGATCTGCCCACATCCTCCTGACGGTCTGCAGAGCGCTGCGGCTCCAGTGTTTGGAAGTGCAGGTGGCTGGAAGGGTGAGAGATGGTTTATCTGCTGGTTTCTCCACTCTGCTGCCAGACACCAGCAGAAACAACACTGCCCCCTGGTGGTCGCACATTCCATTATGTTCTGTTGTCTGAAACATGGAGCCTCTGTTCGTGTTCAGGAACCGTCAGTGAGTCAGTGTTAGTTCTGCTGTCCAGGTGAAGCAGTCATTGTTTCCTGCTGCGCTCAGTAATGTCTCTGTCTGTGCTTCCTGTGACTGGCAGCCATGTTGGATTTAAAGCATCCAGACTCTGAGGCCATCCACCCTGTTGTGCTTGTGGATTGTTTTTATTATTACTAATATTGACTGAATAAAGTTGTGATGGTTGTTTCTGATGAACATTTGTCAGGCTGTTTTTGTGGATTTAATAAACTATCAGACTGCTGGTACTGATGGTTTGACAGACCTGCACAAAGGAGCTCATTTCTCATCATCTCAACTTCCACTCATGAAACTTAAATAATTTATTTTGGATTTTCTGTTTCAAACTGACACATATTAGATAATAATCCAAGTTTTTCACTTTTTTACAAATAAAAATGGCAGAAAGGTGGTTGATGCAGATGGACTATCTTTCTTTACTTACAGCAAAGTATTTCTGACAAATCATACAACAAAAAATGTTAAGTACAATATCTTTTGAAAACCATGTTTTCTGCTTTTTCCATTTTGTAAAAAGATTCAATTTATCATCTGACTTTAGAGAACCCAAATCTGCTTTTAATTCATTTATTAAAAATGGCTAAATACAGTAAGTATTTATGAAAACAGAGTGACCCCAATACTCAGAAAATACTTTATTTTGTTTGGCAAACAATCTACTTTTAATAATGTCAAAACCTTAAAATTTGGACCTGCAATAATTCAAACTTCTATTTTTTGCTTGTGTCTAACTTGTTTGTATGTAGATTTTGAATTATTTAATCTTGAATCATGGTTTAGTGGCTGCAAAAGAAAACGACAAAAAACAAAACAAAAAAAACAAACAAAACAAAAACATCCAGGGGTTGCTAACTGCCCCTGGTCCCTACTTTGAGCACCCTTACTTTAAATGCATGACTTCAGGTTGATTTTTATTGTTTGGCACATTTTCTGGGTCACTAACAGACTAGAAATCTGATCTGTGGGGATTTAGTCTATATGAACAAAGGCTTTTGTTCACTAAAAGTAATTTTTAACATGGTAAACAAAAGTAAGTCAAGAAAATGGTAAACAAAAGTAAGTCAAGAAAAAGCCTAAAGAAATGAAAGTGATCCCTGGTGAGGCAGTTTGATATTTCATACATGTTTATTTCATAGAATAAAAATCTGTCGTAGTGCAAAAGTATGTGTGAGAAGTCATGTTGGTGTAAACCCATCAGTGTGTGGAGTGCTTCTTCTTCCACATGGTAACTCAATATGAGTCAGATTCCTGTCTGAAGCTCCTCTCAGGTCACCAACAGGTGATCTGCTCATCAGGCTTCAGAGCTGCTTCAAAATGTCCCAGTCGTTCGAGTCTTTGTCCTGCAGAGGGCGCGTCTTGTCTTCATACCTTGATGTGAATCTGCCGGGCAGAGGAAACCACAATGAGTTTCAGTTTGGTTTCAGCATTTCACGTTTTTGCATCCTGGTAGAAAACTCCAGCAACCAGCAGACATTCATTGAAGAAGACAATATAATATGATACTTTTCTGAAAATGATTTGAAACAAAGGAAATTCAGATATTTATGAGAACAAGTTGAACTGGTTTCTGCTGCTTCACTGTTACTGTTAACAGAAGGTAACATTTTCTTATTTGTCCAGTATCTAGAACCTACAGACCAAACAAGTCTGAGCTGAAAACATGACAGGCAGACGAGAAGTTGAGATCTGTCTTCATCAAACACACTTCCTACGTGTTTCTGAGCTCGGACATGTTGGCCATGTTTCTACTTGCCCATCTGTGCATTATCTTTCATCCCATACCCTGCACAGCAAACATAAGACAATAAAAACCCAACAGCAGCTGAAAATGTTCATCTTCATTCTGCGTTTGGTCATTAAGTGACCAGACTGTCAGTGTGCCTGGTGTCTGGTGAGATGTAGAGAATAATTAGCTAGGTTAACTCTCACTAAGGAGGAGAAGAACATAGGAGAGAGCATGAGGGGGGAGGGATTATAACAAAACATCAGAGAAAGTTCCAGTAACTGTTAAACTGGTGCCTTCTCTGTGGACTTCCTGAAAATACTGACAGCATGTCTGGCACATTTGTGTTTCGGTTTGTGTAATCTAGTGAATGCAAATCTATCTGGGTAGACCATTTATGTGTAGATCTGGGATTTGTCACTCAGGTATTATTAGCGTGTATAAGATGCTCATTAGCTCCTCCTGTTTTCTAAAAACCATATGTTGTTGCCATGGTTAGACAAAATAACAACTGTCCAAGAATTGGACTGTTGTGTGATACACAGTATCATAACTGATACAGTATCATAAAACAGTTACAATGTTCATCTAAACATTCAACAAATCAACCTGAAACTGAAGAACAAAGTCCAGAAACAGAAGAAAGCAGAACTAAAGCTACAGAGCTTTAGTTCTGCTAAAGCTCTGTGGCAACAGAAACCTTTTGCCACAACAGAAACCTTTAAAGGAAGCTGATTCTAATAGAAAACATCATTTTGTGTTCAATTCAATGACACCAGTATTATTGTACCGATTGAGTTGAATTCGGGTTCAGGAAATATTACACAGGCTCATCTAAATCCTGACTTTCTGGAGGTATGATCCAGGTTCCTCCTGGCTCATACTCACCATCCTGACTTCATAAACATCCTGTTCAGGTATCAAGACTATCATATCATAAAAACATATCAGAAGAAAATCTCCATACATTCTCTCGGTGTTTATGTACATACACACAGTGAGATGTGGATCCATGTGGGATTAAACACCAAGCCGGTCTGAATAGGACGCTGAAAACTGATCACTCAGTGTTGATGTTGATGCCATGGCTGAACAAACCTCTGTAACATGAAGTCTTCTTTTATTGTGTTTTTTTTGTTGCTGTTGTTGTTGTTTTGTACATTATAGTATTAGTGGCTTGTATACTTGCAACATCACAGTGGTGGAATAAATTGTTCTTAAACTTGTTTTTTTGCTCTTGTCACTCGTATAATTTAAAGACAAACTTCAGACGGTTTGAATAGAAGAATTGGTTTGAGTTAAAAAATTGTTTCTGAATCTAATTGTGACCCTAAAGATCAGAATTGAATCATTAGACATTGAAAGGCCTCATTCACCAGTCTGTGATGTCATTCTGTCAATGTGGGCAAAAACATCTCTATGCCAAGAAAGACCAAAGGCGTATATGAAGGGAAAATCTTTGCACATTCTCTTTTTTTGTATGTATTCTACAACCCAGGTTTGTTGATGAACAGTGACTCAGCGTTCCTATGGGAACCGGTTCTGACCTCGCTCAGCAGAGCCCAGACCTCTGAGTCAGAGTGAACCACCAGGCGCAGAGCTGAGATGGGCTGCAGAACTTCAGCTATTTCTCCTTCAGCCACTCCGTTGTAAAATTCACCTGCAACAAACACAGCTGGTTACCAACCACAGTGTGTTAGAACCACAGCCAATCAGGCTGCAGCTCAGGGTTGATCAGTTAGCCATGATTCTGACAACTAATCAGATAAGAAACCGGCACATTGTAAAAATTTTTAATTGAATTAAAAATATATAAGTTATAAATATGCAAATAAACAAATAATTCAGTTCCTATTTTAAATAAGAAAAACCTTTTATTGAGTAGAAATGCAATAGTAGCCATCTTTTAGTATATGCTTGATCACTTGGTTAATTTTTGCATTAAACAATTATTAATTAGACAGCAAAAGGTCAATAGGAGATTTATTTACAGGATTTTTCAGTCAGTTTACTCCAGTTAATTAATAAATTACTAAATTAGTTGACAATTACTTAAATAATTGATTAATCATAACTAGTCATGTCAGCCCTAGACTAGCTGGGTTTAGCTTTTTGATTTTATACAATATTAATACCACTGCTCTTTTAATAGCCCCCAGCCAGTTACACAGACACTGTTTCCATGCCGACACTGACCCTTTGCTTCTTTTTGAAGATGATAGATAACTCCTGATTATTAGCACCTCTAGAACAACGCTGGTCTGGGACCTGTTTGGTGTAAATGTTGCTTTTATCCTCAAACTTTCACTTCTTGTCAGCTTATTCTGGAACAGGAAACAGTATCCATGGAGAAGGTCTGACATCAATATCATTGTTTACAAGCTGCTCTGCCTTCACAGAATGCTTTCCCACAGACTTCCTTTTGCCCACAGAATAACCTCCATGGCAGGTGGCCTAACATAGGCTGAGTTATTGGTTATCAGGCCTGACTCATCCTGTGGAGGAGATTCATTAGAGGTTCAGGTCTGTGTTTTATAAAGGGACATGCAAACATGATGACACCTGTTCCATAAATCCAGGCTGTTTATGATCTGCTGCACTAGAATATGTCTAGAGGAAGTGTGTGTTCAGTAAATGTCATGCTCAGATGCAACAACTCCTTTCAGTTTAGTCTGCAGGTTGGATGCTGTCTGCTCCTAACACCTGGTGACAGATCAGTTTATTAAGACTAATTCTGTCTTTCTTTGCTTGCAGTGGTACAGAGTAAGATCAACCTGATACATTAAGGCCACTATCTGATGGACTCAACATGTAATTTACTCACCAATAATAACAAAGTTGCTGTCAGACCTCTTGTATTTAATTGGTGAGCCAGCCAGGAGCTTCTCTGCAGCCATTGTCTATGAGACGCAAACACAGAAGAGTCAGAGCCTGGAGAAAAGAACCATGTTTTACCCCAGCACAGAGAGGGACGCCATGTTTTAATGACTGGTAAAGACTTAACATGATTTTTTATTGCTAAAGAACCCTCGCAACATGCAAACCAAGGAATATGAATGAAGTGGAGGCCAGAGTTCATCAGTAGGTGTCCTAAGAAAGCATAAGGACATTTTGTTTTTGTTAGTTGTTGAAAGATCCCATCATTCATCTAACTACAGTTGTTTTACCAGAGGCCTGGGTTGACTAAATGCTTAATAGAACAACTTAAATATGATTGAGCTTTAGGATTTGTTAAACTGGATCTCTTAAAATAAGCCTGAACATTTTAAAAGAAACAAATCAGTATTTTCTTGTAGGTAAAGCCTTCACATATGACTTCATTTTGCTGCTCCAGGCCGATGCAGTGCTGTTTGAAATGGAGGACCGTGACTTGTACACATCATCAAGTCAAACTGGTTTCTGTGGGAAGATAAAGCTTTTCAAAATAAGGGTTTTGATCTTTTCGTTGTGCCATTTCCGTCCATTTTGTTCACTGAGTTTTATGTTTTACCTAATGACATGGTAAAACATTGTGATTGTGAATGCTGGAATTTCTGGCCCCATGCAGACAGACTGAATCCTCCATCAGGCTGATAACGCCTCTGCTTCTCCATCCTCTCCTCCAGGTCTTTTTTGATCTGAGGAAGATTCTCATCATTTCCGATGTTTTCAGCAACTTCAATCAAAAGAAGCTTCACTAAATCACTTTACTTTCCTTTTTTGTTGTTGCTAATTTATCCAAATGACCTTTGACTTAAGTTCTGTCACTTTTTTAAAAATACCCAAGTTCTAGAATTATTTCAATATTCTGATGTAATATATTCAGAGAACATAGTTTTCCTTGCCAGCTGCTCCTGCCATGCTGCACTTCCCTTTGGCCGCAGTGCAACTTGAAGCCAGGTTGGACTTATCTCCTGTATTGTGGTTTCCCTCTTATCTTCCACTCAGGGATCCAGTGTCAGTCTAACTTTACTCAAAGGTCAGCTGTCACATAAACACTTTTCCCTTTTAGTGTGCCTTAAGAGTGGCTGAACACACACACACACACACACAATGCAGAGGGTGGTGCAGTGATAACAGATAGCTTGTTCTGCTGGGTGTTTCCTGTTACATTGCCACTCTTTCCTAAGGCATCAACACCTGTAATGAAAACCAAGACTGGACGCCGTCAGCAGGTAGAGCAACCAGAGAACACACATTCGCATGGAGCACACACGCGCACACAAACGCACACACACACGGGTTACTCACATTGCCGGGGAGAACTTCCACTGTGGTGTTGTGGAATTTATCCTCCACTGCCTGGCTGTTTCCACTACGAAACACATACCTACAGAAAAAAAAACACACATTTTTATTGACTAATAACTCAGCAATAATAGTGGACTAGATTACCATAATGTTTAATTGAGTTTATTGCAGGGTTTGTAATTAATAAATTGCAATTAATCAAATTTTATCAAAAACTATATCGACAAAATGAGCAACATTTTCATTCAAGGAACCTTTTTGCTGCTAAATTATTGAGTAATCAGATACGTATCTCAGCTCACCAACAAAGATATTCATTGTTTTTATTATGTTTTTTATATTATTCCACCATCAGATTGGTGCAAAGTTGTTCTATCCATTCCAAAGTTTCAGAAACTCCTGATCATTCATGGACAGTAGACAATGATGTTAGTGTCTGTGTTACATGTTTATCATTGTTATGTTGTTGGCTTGAATTCTGATAAGCTAACTCATTTTAGAACAATAGACAATAATAGTCTCTTCCAGCATTTCATCAGATAGTTTTTTGAAGCAGAAATGAACCCCTATTGGTCCAAGAACAGCGACTTTGTCATCTATTGACAGATGCATCAGATTCAAGGATGAATCAGAAACATGCAAGTAGTTTTATTCTTGTTTGTGGCCTTTGGGTGCAGCTTTGTGATCCTCCCACTGCATATGACCCTCTGCAATGTTGACCTTCATAGTGCCAACTTAAATTTTTTTCTCCAGAATGCACCTAGTGAGTCAGAGGCAAAAACTATTAACACCCTTGATAGATATAAAAAAAAGCTAGCTAGCTAGCAAGGGTATGTTAGAGGTTGGCTAGCAATAGACTCAATTGCCTCAGGTCAAAGAAATCATTGGGGGCATCTGCACATGAGTCAAGGATTTGCCTGACAGAAAAAAAGAAAACAGAAAAAAAAACTACAAGATGAAATAATCCTGTCACGACAAAATTTAATAGATGATGTTAATGTATCTAAGGCCAACATACAAATATATTTTTTTTATGAATTTAAGGCATTTTAAGTCATTCCTTTTTGATACTTGAAGATTTTTTAAAGCTGTGCAAACATTTTTTTTTACGTTTGAACCGTACAAATAATACTGATGGTATTAATTTATATGTACGATGAATCAGACTGAAACTGTTGTCTTTTAAGTGACTCAGGTCAGTTTGTTGGAGATAAAAAAATATTTATCCATATCTCTACCTCAATATGCTCAGTTATGATCCACATAAAGTATAAGAAGTAAATAAAACCTAAAACTAAACTGTTTTAGTTGCATCTTAAATCAACTATTCAGCAACATGCAGTTTACTGAGAACTCATTAAACTGACTGTGTTCACAGCAGGTAAATTGGGTTCAGGTTAACAGGATCAATATTTTCCAATATTTTCTCCTTGCTGTGCACAGTTTGCCTTTAAACTTCTTGTCCTTGAGCATGAACACTAAAATTTTATATCAGAGTCTTTCTAAAACCATACATACTTCCTCCCCCCTCAGATGATAGAGCTTTAAAACAAAATTTATTTTTTATTTGTAATGTGTGTGTTTTTTTGTTTGTTTTTTTTTCTGTTGCTTTTTAAATTAAAATTTAGCTTTAAATTCAAGCAGAATTTGAAGTATAAAAGCTTTAACTTCTGCTTCCAATACCGGCTCAAAGTGCAGAAAGTATCATCTGTTCACACTTCCAAAGCTACAGTATAAGAACTGGCTATTAATCACCTCCCCATCAGGCTGATCAAAAAGCTAAAACATGACTGACCCGGCTATGCGGATGGGCTGAGGGAAGCTGAAGAGGATGTAGTCGCCCCGGACCGGCGTCAAAGCCCACATGAAGTCACTTCCTTTGTAAAGCCGCTCCAGGCTGTGCAGCTGGTAGTGTTTCATGCTGCTGTTCACTGCAGCAGTTGGGTTACTGTGAGCCTGAAACAAACCCTGCTTCCCAAAGTCCTTATCCTGCAGTTGAGGAGAGACAGGAGGGAATGAGATGAATGTGCTATCAGACGAGGAGGGCAGCATTTCCACCGCCATGCACAGTGTGAACTGTAGCAGGGGAAATGCTTCCTGCTCCCTTACCCCAAACCTGGAGTTCTGCTCTGTGAAATATTTTGCGAAAAATATGTAGCTTTTTAAAAAATTATTATTATTATTTTGTGGCCACTATAATTTTTGAAATTGTGTAAAACAAAGACAGACTGCTACCACAGATTTTTCCTAAGCACAGATTGTGGATGATAGGAGATACAACAGCATTTATAAATAAAGTCTTTTGTTGTTGCATCAAGCAGCAGCCCTCTCCACACCCCAAGTCCTGTCTAGAGATCATTCTCCCACCAAGTCCTGGTGAACATAAACTACTACAACAAAAAAACATTAAAAGATAAAAGAGACAATGAGCTGAGCCACAGCTGTCCTTGTATAAACAGTCTGTGTTCCTTCTGACAGAATCATCCTCTAAATTACTGAATATGAGCAAAACTTTATCCACTCAAACATTTGCTCTCTTTGAGACTTCAGTTCTCGGTCAGGATTTTCATTTTTCATTCAGAAAACGGTTTTCTGATCAAGAGAGAACAATAAGTATTATCGGAAGTATTTTACATTTTTGTGATTCTTTCTCTCCATGGAGTAATTTAAATGTAATCAAAGAAGCTATCTGCTGCTTTTACTGAATGTGGCACTCCACACAAACGGCGCTCGTGGCGACAGAGGTCAGAGGTCAGCGGTTCACTCACCTTCAGTTGTTGTAGTTTTCCAGGCAAAGAGGAATGAAGACCAACATGCTGGAAGAGCGAGGGCTTACATCTCCTCTTCAGCATTGCCTTCTGAAGGTCACAGTGTTTCTGCAAAAAGAAACCCACTGATGATTAGTGAGAGCAGAGATCATGTGTTGGATTAGAGTCATTATTATGCTGATATGCTGTGTGCAGAAGCTGAAGATGAAATTAAAATCCTCCAAAAGGCTGAATGAACACATCCAGAGAGATCCAGGACTGGTAGTCTGAGACTCAGAAGAGCTAACAAACGGCTGACCAGCCACATGCAGCTACTCTCTTTCTTTTGTTCCTCACAGAGACAAGTCAAAATAAAGTATCTTTTCTTGAAAAGTATCAACTACCACCTCCTTTCGACTTCTAGCCAACAAAGACACCGAGTGGTGCAGTCGTTACAGATGACTGCAGTTCAGTCATCTCTGACCACTGAACCACTAGCACAGCTAAACCAGAAGATTCAGTAACCTCATGACTCATTGGCCAGGTCTTAGTGCGATTCACTTGCTTATACTTGGAGCATGTGGTCAATCAAGAAAACCCGGAGTGGAGTTTTATGGAATCCATTCCGCTTTAGTTTATCAATAAAGTGGAATGGATTCTTCAACAAAGCATTAGAAATGTGGTGGGAACTGTACTGGAGCACAACCAAAATCCACAAACTGGATCCTGGTGTCTTTTCCTGGGAAGACCAGATGCCGAGTGCATCGTCTACGGACCTGCTGGATCCGTTAGTAAAGGGTGAAGGAAGGCTGCGATGGCTTCAAGGTTGGAGATAACCAGGGACTCACAAGACTTCATAAGAATAGAGGTTAGAGCAACAGGACCTGGACCACAGGACCACAGGACCACCGGTCCAGGTCCTGTGGTCCACAGGACCTGGACCCCAGGACCAGAACCCGTAGAGGTCTTGGAGCAGATCGGAACATAGCAGGGCTCAGTGAGATATTAAAAATGCTGCTAAAGACTGGGAGCACATTGCTGCAGAGTAAAACACAGAGCAGCTGGACCAATGAAAAGACTCAGGGTTTATACCTGAGGGGTGTGTGGCCACAGAAGCCAATATAGATGTTGCCATGTGGCTCCAAAGTTTTCCTGAAGATGTTACATTTTCTAGCTTTAAGAGGAAGTTTTGTAATTCGTCCTGAAAACGAGGACAAGGATTTGTCTGGAGTTGTTGGAACCACCAGACTTGCAGACAAGAGTATTTTAGGCCTGGCAGAGAATATGGTGTCACATCTTGTTCTCTTCTTTTGGTTTACATCAAGCATGAGATATTTTGGGCCCAGTTTTATTTCTAAGCGCCAAACCTTGCAGGAACTTTTGTCTCATATAAGAAGTGTTGCATGTGATGACTATAATCTGGTCTTTGTCCCCACTCACACATGCTTCTTCTTTTTTTCCTTTTCAAGACAACTGGATGAAACCCAGGGTTTGTCATTGTTGGAACTCATCCTGGTGTGTGACGGTACACAGCAGTCCCTGTTAACCAGCCTCTGTGTATTTCTCCAGGCTGCAGTCCTAAACACATCCAGTCAGAGCATCCCTACTGGTCCTCCACAGCCTCAGTGGTCCACTGCTGCTATGTCCTCACGACAGGTTTAGAAAGCTGGAAGTCTTGTCCATATCAGGGCTGCACCCATCACCCGTCTCTGAATTCTTTCTTTTGGGAGATCGATCGGGAGATATTGATCTTATTCATCAATCTTCTCTTCCTCCACAAAGGTCTGAACTGACAGACCCGCCCACCAGGTCACATGCTCCATTAACAGTATTTCGCCCAATGTTGCCAACTTAGTGACTATATTTAGCAATTTCTTAGACCAAAAATAGAAAAAAAAGAAGGTAATTGGCAGCTCAGGCTTTGTATAAGCAGGTGATTGGCCAGAAATGTACACTCTGCACCAGCACAACGCAGTAAAACACACCAACAGCTTTACAAGCATGGTCAAACATGTAGAGACAGCTTTAACTTGTTCAGTCAGTGCTGGCAGGGGGAGTAATATTAATGTCAATAATAAAGAAACTGACAAAACAATAGGTTGATTACTTTGGTCAAACAAGCAAAAATGAATTACAACAAACCAAATGGTTCAGATAGGAATTATTATAATTTAAAGTAAATAATAGAGCATGACATCACTCAGAACAGAAAGCATAGAATTCGACTGGATAGATATGCACTTGTGGATCAGTCATATTGTCACTGATGTGGAATATTTTTTCACATCAGGACTGATATAGATATTAATATTAGATTGGTGCCTCTAATAATCATGTAGTAAATGAAACAATTATCATCAAACTGATGGGACATTAAAGTTTTAACAAAGTGAAAATAAACAGAGTATTAAAGTTCTTTGTGTCTGGTTGAGGTCAGCAGACTTACGTTATCTTTCTCCGGGTTGCAAACCTTCACCCACAGAATGTGATCCAGCAGCCAGTCGATGGGCTTGTCTTTGTGGAACATGAGGAAGAACTCAGCTATCATCGGGAGGTCTCTGGTCTTAAACATCTTACCTGGAAAAGAAACAATAATAAACAAACAGAAGACGTCAGAACCACGCCTCTTAGTTGGTTTCCCTCTGCAATGCTGAGTGGCAAAACAAACACACCTATGAAGCCAAGCTGGGAGAATTCCAGGTAGAGCCATTCGTTAGAAGACGCCAGGGTGGCGAATGCCTTCATGTCGCTATAGTAACCACTCTTTGCAAAAACGTCATCTTCCAGCTAGAAAACACGCATGGATGGTTAGAATCTCACTTCCAGAACATTCTGCAGAGAAATTAGTGCTGGAATAGAACAGTGTTGTATGAACTGATGAGTCGAAGAGACGCTGAGGGAAACATCACGACACATTTGAAATGCTGAAAGTCCTGTAGCTTTAAGGAAATGTTGACTGTTACCTCTTCAACAAGATCACGACCTGTCAGGTAATTATTTGTTTGAGCTGCTGAATGTTAGTCATCCAGGGCCACATTTGTTTGCCTTCTGGTTTGCTTTGGCCATTTTTCTTCAGAGAGTAAATATTTGCAAAGTGTTATTTTGTGTCATTTCTTTTGTCATAACCCCAGAGCCAGGTTGTGACATCAGCACACATCCTAATTTCAATTGTTGACCGGCATAAGGTAGAAACTATTAACATTTCTTCCTGTTTTCTTTTCATGCTTTTGTCAAATGTTTCAAAACTCTGCTTTATGTGGCGTACTTTAACTGAAAGGTGCGGACTGTTTCGACTGTTTAATTGTTGAATTACAACATTAAATCAAGAGACCCTTTTAATGAATTAAGATATTGTGAAAAAGTCTAATTATTCCAGGAACTTTAACACCAAAGGAAATTACATAGATTATACACAGATGGAAGCCTGTATTTCTGTTAATCATGATGAATTAATAGAAACATGAAATGTAGAGTCAGACTATTAAATCAGGCAATAAAAAACATATTTTATACAGAAATGTGGGCTTAATTAGAAGTATGCTCAATACCTACTTAAAAGTTGTTGTCTTCAAGAGATACCTTAAATTTGACAATTGGGCTTCATCAAATTTGAACTCTTTTAAATTTATTGAATATGACTGTATGAGGAAAATCTACATTTCTTGTACAACTGTGAAGTATGTCATTTAGAAAACAAAGAACTGTATCCTGAAGTTTGTCTGTGTGATGTTCTCCCTGACCTGTTGCATATGGTCCGGTACCTTCAAACTGTCTGTTCCTTGGTTGATATTTGAAAAAAAATAATCTCATGTTTTTCTATCATTTTTTCTTAAAGATGTTTTTTGAAAGTAGTGTGTTTCGCAAAACCGCAATGGAAACACTTTCTTTGCATAACACAAGTCACATGATCAACAACCAGGTGTTACTCCTGATGAAGAAGACTTCATTTTTAAATGACTTATCGCATGAACATATTCCTGTGTAACTTAAAATGTATTTTCTATTTAATGGAAACAATGTAATTGCAGATTTGCATTTTTTCCGACATTGGCGGATTAATGACAAAGGTTTGTGCACAGTCACAGGTGACATAACTCCAGTCATGATGGTCAAAATGTCTCATACATGAAATCTGAAGTTGCTTCATGGTAGAAATCTAAAATCACCTGAACATAGTACGTTCCTTTGTCCTGAGCATACAGCATGAGGAAGCTGTAGTCCAAATTCTGCTTAGTTCGCCATCTGCAAAACAAAACAGAACAAATTGCCTTTTTTTTCTATCTGTGAGATAAGCAACATGATGAACACATTCTAACATTCTCATCAAACAGAAATGTTCGTTATCAGGCAAGCTGTGGCAGCACAGGTATGCAGCAGAACAGGAAGTGATGTAAGCAGACAGTGAACCTCCTCATCAGTGTAACCAAGCTCAGCTGAATGAAGAGATAAAAGAAAAAGCAGAACAAAAAATTGTCCTTCTGATTAGATCAGCAGCAGAGCTACGCAGGAACGAGTGAAAGGTTAACAAAATGCCCTTCAAGGTCACTCAGGTTTTGACATGGCATTTTATATTGACTTAAAAAATATATCTTTGGAAGCTAAAAAAAGAAAAGATTCAGAGTGGATATTTTCTGTGTATTGTTTGGCAGCAAACTTTACTGTTACAGTATGAAAGCTGCCTGTGTGTCTAATAAAAATCCACAGTTCACTCAACCACAACCCTGCAAAAACATCTTACCAAGTATTTTAGGTAAGATTTCAATCAGTATATTTGAAATAAGACAAATACATTACAAGTAACTTGTCAGTAAAAAATATCTTCTTTTAAGTGAAATATTTTGCCAGTGGAACTATTCCTTTTTTTTAATGAATATTTTTTTTAAAAAGAGCTTGTTGGACTTAAAACAAGCTCCCATATCTTTCTGAAAAGTTACTTGCAAGTGAGTTTTATCTTATTTCAAGTGCACTAAGATATTGCACTAAAAACAAGATAAAAATACTTTAGAGTTTTTAGAGTGAAGAATTGGATGAAAGTGGACAGATGATGATTCAACATGAATGATTTTAGCAACAAATATAATCTCTTCACTCAGATTTACTTTGTGCAACAGAAGTACAAAGTATTGATTTCTTCATGATGCTGGTTGTAAAATATAACTATTTCACTCCCATCAGAAACCATAAACCCCACTATAAAAATCGTTCTTTTGTTAGGCGTTCTGTTATCACCCAACCAAGAGACACTGCTGAGAGCTGCAGTTTGTAGCAGTAATGTTAATGATTACTGATAAAACAAAAACGCATCAAGTTTTTAAAGTAAAGTTGTATTCTGAAGCTGCTACCCCTGACACCCAACCCTGGATGGATGGCAATAAAATATATTTTCTTTTATTTAAAAAATGATTTGAATTAATTGTTTATTTGCATGTTTTAATGTATTTCTAACATTGTATAAAAAGGCATAAATGGTTAAATGAAAATCTGCAGAATGTGCAAATGTGTGGCGTATTCTGCAATTGATTAATCAATTAATTGTCCAAATTATGAATGACTAAAACAATCAACATTGCAGCCATAATTAACATGAAATTCAAGCATTTTGCTGGAATTTCAATTGTCATTCTCTTAAATTTGTTATTGATGGGTTTTTTTGTTGTTGTTTTTTTTTATTGTGCTGACATCCAGACAGACTCAGTAACTATCAGCAGGGGCTTCAGACGCAGACAGATTTCACCATGACTTAGCTAAATGTCCTATTTGATGTGTTGCATACATTCACATTGGTTATGTTTGTGTTGTTGTAGCAGGGAGTACGCTTATGCATGTAGATATTTGATGCATACTTGACTCTGTCCTTGGAGTCTCCAAACGTCTCTTTGAGGGTGTTGAAGTCGGGGTAGTAATGCTGCGACGGGGAGACCACCTCCAGTAGACCAGACTGCACCTCCTTTGGAAAACTACGGAGGACAAACAGAGCAGGAGTCACAGCTTCTTAAAGCAGTGCATTACTTTGAAGGCAAAATAAATACCTTTGATGCATTTTGTTTTTAATTTGCAGAAATAAAATAAATGAACAGTGTAGTGAACATATGTCACCCTGTCATCTCCATCAGCATCAGTGATGTCTTCCCACTGTACCTTAAGACAGTGAGTTATGATTCCATGTCTCTGTTGGACTTGAAGAAGGCCTGCAGCTCCAGGTCACAGACAGATGCAGTGGAGACATTGTGCAGACCAGTGATTGTTATTATCCTGTGTACTTTTCCACTTTCTCCAGCTTCCTTTTGTTTAGTGTTGAACTGGCCCTCAGGCAGCAGCAAGTATTGAGTTATGTAACCGTCACCCTGTAACTTTCTGGCTGGGCTTGTTCTTAAATGTATAATACTCGGCACGTTGCACATAAATAAAACTTTCCGTATTCGACTTCAAATCAATAATTCTCAATTGATGACTTCACCTTTGAGATGTAGATGACAGAACCATGTGATATACACACATCAAAACCACCCAACCAATACAACTATTAAAACATTCAATCAATCACTAAGATCTCTGTATCAATAAAGAATACAACTATCTCTAGTGTGATTCTGGTATTCCTTGTTCAGAAAGAGTTTGTGCAGCATTTTGCTTTTCTGAGTGGGACCATCAGTCCTTTCTAGGCTCCCAGCAGCTCAGAAAGGATTAGGCCTGCAGTAAGCAATAAATCAATTAATCAATTAATCACATGATAGTTAAAAACAAACTTAATAATTTTATTTTGCAAGATTTATTGTTTTTCTCTTTTCTCTCTTTCTACCAAAAACTTGAAGACAAACGTCTTCAGTCTGGTGCTCTGCTCTCTACTGGCTCTCTGCTTGAAGGACAGTTTTGTTTACAGAGACGTCATTATTAATTCTATTTATTGTTGTTATTTTATATATTTAAAAAGTTTTCCAGTTCTAGTCTATAAAATCCATAAGAATGTAAAGTTTATTGATTTTTGTGAATGTGTTCTTGCATTGCCATGTCATTACCTTTATATTACTTGAAAATGGTTTCACAACAACAATATTATTGTTTATCACAATAACTTCTGGGTCAAATGATGATCCAGCAGCTGTTGAGTCTCAGTAAATCTGGATGTTTTTTTGGTTTGTTTTGTTTTTTCTTATACATACAGCATAAAATCATGACATTTTAAGGTGGCTGATTACACTGGGTTACAAAAAATATGTTTTGAAAGTTGTTTGTTTTTTCAACTGAATAAGGACAATTTTAGCACCACTGAATCCAAAAATGACATCCATTTTTATCAATAGTTTTCATTCTAATTTGACTTAGAGAAATTTAGTCTTCTGACTAAATCGATGAAATTTTTGTGACATTATCAATTTATTTCCATTAATATTTCTCATCCAAAAAATGAATGAGAAATGAACTGAAAATTACGTCTTCATTGTGTAAAGTTCTGTCTCTTTTCTGTCTGATGGATTCTCTCCTCCTGCTCATTGATCCAGATTGTCAGGAAACTGATCCAGATGTCAGAACAAGTCCTGCATTTTGATGCTCATGTTGCTCCATGGTCCAGAAAGTTGACCTGATTTTTGGATTCATTTCATTAAAATGACCCTAAAACAGTCAAAAAACCCCAGACAATCTTTTTGATATTGACCAATGTCATTTTACAGCCTATAATAATCCATGGAAAATAAGCAATAGAAGAGGTTCTTATTTAGCAACGAGTTTCTCCCACTGGAAGCAACTAGAAGCCACTCACTTCTCAGCCAGGCTGCGTGCGATGCTCTCCACATACTGTAGATCCGTCTAAAAAAAAAAAACCAAAAAAACAGGTTAGTGAAGTTAACGTATGAAAGGAATGAATAGAACAAGGAACTGCTGTGGTATGAGGCCTCGCCTCAGTCACATTCAGTGGAATCTGTTTCTATTCAAATATGGTTGATAATCCACAGAAAACAATGGTTCACACATCAAAACTGGTTTTGCATGCTGGTACAGTGTGTGAATCTCTCTGCCAGACCCACAAAATACAAACAGCTTCTGGAACTGCAGGCCGGAAGATTCTGAATTAGAAACGTTGGTGTTATCACGCAGCGTCCGTCTCAACAAAGAGGGACATGTTATGTCCCAGAACTGCTCTGTCCTCATGCAGCATGAAGAGCAAAAAAATAAAATTAAAAAATCAAACTGAAAGATGAACTTTGCTCCAGATGTTTTCTTGGTGATAAAACATGTTTTATGAGCAGCATGCTGGGGAAAGCTCAAAGGTCTGAGTACAAACACAAGCATGAGCAGAACCATAAATGGACCGGTACCAAGGTCTGTATCAGTCCCTCAATGTGATGCCAGTGATGAGGTTTCTACACTGCTGGTCAGCTGGCTGATAGAAAACCTCAACACTCAACTGTCATGGAAAACAATTCAGCTGCTAGGGAATATTTTCAGTTGTGAAAAACACTGAGAGTCATAAAGTGGAATTATTTCTTCTAAATATTTATATATATTTATATAAAGTACTTAAAATATATAAATAATTGATCTGAGGGTCCCATGTTCTGTGCTACACAATATTATTTGCATTTTTTAAAATTTAAATTCATTAGCTAAGATTACTACAATTTTAATAATCAATATGTCGAATTATTGGTTGGTTGGAAAAATTGCTCCCAAAATCAAGTGGATCATTAGGATTATTAATCTCACACAATCTGTGTTTATTCTGCATATTTTAAGTAGTGCTGAAGCTATTAATTGGATTAATCATGTTTAATGGATTATTCAGATAATTGTCAACTAATTTAGTAATTGATTAATTGTTAACTGAAATATACAGGCTCATAAAAGGACATTTGCTGAAAGAATAACACAGTCAGAGCAGTAATTGCAAAAAATATTATAAATTTTGCATTAAAGATGAAAACAATGTCTGTAAATTTGTTCCACCCAGAACTCTATTACTGTATTTTAGGTAATAAAATGTTTATTCTTCTATTTAAAAAAGGAGCTGAAGGTTTTGTTTATTTGAATCTCTTAATGGATTTCTAACACAGAACAAATAAAAAATCTGCAGAGTGCCAATTGTCAGATAATCGTTTGCTGCAGTCCTACTTTAAAACAATGTACTGGAGCCACAGTGATAGGAAAAACAAGAAAATGATTGGTTTGAATAAAAAGCTGCATGCAACCTCAGCGACAAAGACGATGATGAGGAGCTCCTGCGTTTCTGAGGAGGTGAGGCCGGACAGCAGGGAGCTGAGGGTGCTGACCAGGTAGCTCTGCTTCTCACGCTTCACCGTGGGAATGCCCAGCACCATGCTCACTGTGGGAGGAGCAGCAGGGAGATGAACACTCAGTCAAACCCCATCGCTGCCAAACGCATACCACAGGACCTGCTCTCCTGGAATGTTCAGAAATGTAATTCCAGTGACAAGCAGAGCAGCCAAACAATGTACTCGAGTGAAAGTAGCTCTATTTCAACAACATTAAAGTAAAATCCAAGAAATGAGTCAAGTAAGAGTAAAAGAGTACTTGGTAAAAAGCCTATTCAAGTAAGGAGGAACTGATGAAATGATCAGTAATTTAATGTTTAAAAATAGCATCATCAGATGAACCAAAATATAAAGTTAAGTTTAAATTTAGGAGTTTTAATGAAGAAAGTACAAATAAGTCATAAATGATCAAAAAAATAACAAAATCCAGCAAGAATTTTTTTTTCCACATCAGTTTTTTTTTTGATTAAAAATAATAAAAACAAAAAAACACTAGTCAAACTTTAACAAAAACTGCAGGTGTGTGTCAGTGTCTGGTGAAGTTTTGGTTAAAATATGTTTGTTTTTCACTCAGTGAGCAGAGAATCCAGAAATGATTCTCAAGAAAGAGTAAAAATACTTAGAATACAAATTACTCAAGTAGAAGTAAACCTCCTAAAAGTTAATTTTTTGAAAAATTTTACAAAAGTAAATGTAACTAGTTACTAGCCAACTCTGTATAATTCTAGTTGGCAACATCCTAAGGACTAGAAAGTGGTTTGAAACAAACATGAAGTTTGGATCATAAAAAAGTGCAGATACACCTTAGGGAGCTTGAGTTTATATTGATTATGTGGTTTTGTATGTGTGTGTGTGTGTGTGTGTGTGTGTGTGTGTGTGTGTGTGTGTGTGTGTGTGTGTGTGTGTGTGTGTGTGTGTGTGTGTGTGTGTGGGCGTGCGTGTGTGCGTGTGTGTGTGCTCTGTACCTCCGCTGCGTCCTTTCCCCAGCACCACATGTGGCACCAGGCTGTCGGGATGCTCCCTAAGGTGGGGCATGTAGAAGTGAATGCTGGCCTGAGGTAGCAGCTGCCTGCCCAGGTCATCCATCAGATGCTTCACTGTTGCTGTTACACACAAAGACCAAAAACAAAAACCACAGCATTTAAAAATTATTATGATGACTATTAAGCTTTCAGATGTCAGGCTCCCTGAATGTGCTGGATTCAGACAGCCTATCCTCTGAGCTCGGGTCCTCTACCAGAGGTATCCTTGACACCTGCAGTATCTTGTGCCAAGGACTGCACATTTCTGGACTGAGATGTCTGATGTTGTTCCTGGGATCTGTTGTAGCCACTGCTCCAGTTTGGGGGTTACTGCCCCGAGGGCCCCGATGACCACAGGCACCACTGTTTTCCAGCCATTGGTAGGATTTACTGATATCAGCCACTTGGGTTACTTGCTGGTGGTACATCCCATGTAGGGGCTTGTCCTCCCATGATGGTATCCTGTGATCTGAGACATTCACTGAGCACATTGTCTGTTGAGGCTTTGTCCCTGATGTATTTATGGATCTTAGATGTTTCGTCCTAGACAGTGGTTCTCACACTCACTAGATATCAGCAATCAAACAAAGCTTACACGTGAAAACAATCTTGACAACCGATCCTGTATCCTTCTGCATACAGCCTTTATTAAAGCTACATAAGCCAGACGAACTGTAAACCCTGTAACCCTGTGCTCTTCTAACGTGTCTCACTGTTAGACTCCGTCTCGCTCAGGCTCCTTCAGGCCTGCACTCATTTCATTTGCAACTTTCTGTTCTGGAAGAAACCATCATGCAGACTGACAACACAATGCATCAACCAGGCAACGCTGTTGACGCTGTAATAAACGTGAAGTAGAGGTTGCAAACTGGAGAAAAATGAAGACATTTGTACCTTCCAAATTTGAGGTTTTGACAGATATTTTTCAGAGTTTTGTGCCTCTGGTAAGGCATCAACTGCCCAGTGGATGAAAGAGTTTTCTATGTCAGAATTTATCCAGTAAACATGTTTCCATCGCCCAGTTAGCATATGCACTCATTTTCAATCAAGCCAAAAAATCACCAAAACCTTTTTTTTTTGCCAAACTGTGGAAGATCATTAAAAATATTTCCATTTCCATCAAAGTTTCTAAAGCAATACTTTAAAATGTGGATAAAAAAAATGTTGATGGAACCATGGCTGGAGTGATGGAAGCACAAATGAGAGGGACAGGTGTATTTGCTCTTCTGTTGTTTTTGCAAGGTTTTCTAATATTGTGCAGGCCAACCTGCATCCTACCAACCTCTAATCACTTAATACAAACACTGTACATTGACCTTGTTCTGTTAGCTAATGAACAACTGAGTGTATTTTACACAAACAATACACACCAGTTCACTGCAGGGAGAGAATCACAAACAAACCCAGCATATACCAGGATGTAGCCTCTTGGGTTAAACAGTTCATGTCATCCTTCGTCACCAGCTTCTGCAAAAGTGAGCTGGAGCAGCTGGGGTTCGGCTTTTCATTGTATGTGTTCACACGGACCAGGAAATGTTTGCAGAAACCTCGGCTGTGCTGAAGCAGAACCTGTTGGGTGTATTTGCTCTTCTACAGCACTAATGTTTTGGGCTGGTCTGACTAAGTGTCCTGCTACCCACCCATGGTGCTGCTGCTGCTGGACGTGTTGCTCCAGAGGTGGCTGACGTTGGCACCGTGCGTCATGTTCCCCAGCTGCTCCAGGATGATGCTGAGGTCCTTGCTCACCTTTCCTCCCAGTTCTTCTGCCACCAACAGTCTCTTGTGCAGCATCTGCAGTTCTGCTGTTGTGGGGACAGGTGTGTACTCTAGTGATTCTGCTCACGATATGGTAGAAATTCTCATCTTGACTCAGACAAACCAGCCTGCATGTTCACTAAGAATAATATACTCATGTTTCAGGTCAGTTGTATTCTCTTTTCCAGTTTTTGCTTGTGAGTCCAAGTGAAGCTACAACGATAAGGTCCTCAAACTCATTTTATTATCAGACAGATAATAAAATGAGTTAAAAAAATTCTAAATGTAAAGGATCACCTCAATTAAGAGACAAAGTTACCTTATGTGGAAAACTAATTGTCCCCTGTTGGGTCACTTTTGGCAGCAAAAACTCCCAAACATTTGCAAAAACTTACATTTTATTGCTATGGAGGAATTGTGGCCTACTCACAACCCCAGACCACCACATGACCACCACCATGCTTTACTGTAAATGTGAGTTTTTTTTTTTTTTTCTGAAAAATTAGTTTTGCAATTTGCATAAGTACCACCTTTGTCTCATTTCTGTTTTTCAAACCTGTGTTATTTTGGGTCACTGCTGGCCAATCATTAAACCCCTGACTTGTGATTGGTTGTTCCCATGGGGAAGTAACTCAGCGGCAAAGTTCAACTCTGGAACAGCATTTCACCTCCAAAACCGTCGGTGGGAGCAGAGATGTATGCTTAGGCAGCAGGTATTTATAAATACAGGAATGTATTTTTTTGTTTCCAGAAAGTATTTTCTGTCTTTAGTAAATTATTTGGAAAATACGGATGATGTGGCCCGAAGTGGTTCTTGCGCTGATCAATTGTTTTTCACAATAAGCCCTCCATCTCACAGTAAATTATTCAGTTAGTATTAGATAAGAATAGAACATGGTCTGATTTTAAAAATTGTGAAATGATCTGAAAAAATTGTCAAATGATCATGTGATCACCTCTGTGGGGAGAATGATGTTTGTGGATCTTCCTTGCTGCAGCTGTTCATTGGCTGACATTAGGAAGATGAGACAGAAACTGATCAGGTAGAGAGGGACAGTTGCACAACATGCACAGTTATGAAGAACTGAAGAGTTTTACGACACACATAAAAGGTAAAGTAAAACCCTAATTGTTATGCCTAACAATTAGGGTTAATAGCTGTAGTGACTGGAAGTGAAAGCAGTTCTGTTACTCATTCTGAGCTACCCTGACCTCGGTGTTGATCCTGATCCAGTCTGATTCTACAGATCAGCAGAACCAAAATACCTCAAGTCCAACACGGTTTAACAAAATCGAACTATTTCAGCATGAAGATTCCAATAATCAGTTTCAGTTGATGAAATTTGCCGTCATACAAACCAACCCGCGCTGCAGGGCAACGTAAAAATTAGGCTTTTTTTCCAATATGTTTGTTTTGGAAGGTAATCGGACCTACCTCCATCATCCGGAAATGATGTTATCCAAGAAAGTGACAGAAAACACGCGATCACCAACAAACATCCAATTCGCAGGGGGTAAAACCTCATCTCATTTCTCACTGGCAGTCCTTCCTCTGTCAATGTGCGTCTGTCCGCAAGACTGCATAGACAGCAGGTGGACGGCTGCAGGTGAATGCCCAGGTTAGCGTTAGAGGCTTGTTATTGGCTGTTCACGGCTTGCAACTGACTACGTCAAAAAGTACTAAACACACCTATTTCGTGCAGCCCAGGTATGGACTGGGCTGCATGAACTGTTCTGCTAACGGTAGGGAGACGTTTGAGCGACATCTTGTGGTTGATTATGCAATAACAGGTATGACACAAGCTAATGTCGTTCAGTGCAGAAACAGCAGGAGTTTGATTCAGTTGCTTTATTGTTCAGGCGATGTTTAGAGGACAATGGGAATTTACTCCGTGAGTGTTGGCTGTCAGGGGAAGAAAACGAAGATCAAATCTCTGCTTCATGTGATGTCACGTGATTTAAAAAGAAAAAAAAGGAAGCAAGGAAAGAAAGAGGAAGAAGACAAAAGCAAGATTCACATTGCATCGAACCAACACAGTCCTCTGGTTGTCACGTGGATTCAGTGTGTCTTTATATAGCAGGATTCCGCACGGCATTTCCGCCAGGGGATGTAGCTCAGTGGTAGAGCGCATGCTTTGCATGTATGAGGCCCCGGGTTCAATCCCCGGCATCTCCAGTGGGACTTTTTTTTTTTTAATGAATTTTTCGCACAGTAAATTATTCGAAGATTAAAACACTTTATGCCATTAATGTACAATAGATAATCCTTTTGGAGAACTTTATAACTTTATCTTGTACACTCCAACTCCAAGCACATAAATAGCAAAAAGTAGAAGCCGATTGATGTCTGTTTTTTTTTTAAATTTGTCTGATGTGATGTTGTAACACCAATGTCGTTTACAGCAAATGAATACATAACTAACAGAGCTAAAGGTGGAAACACCTCAGTCTGTGTTCAATAAATCTATATTATATGTGTCATTAAGTGAACTGAGTTACTGAAATACACAATGGAGAGAGCCACAAAAATCTCTAAAATATCTTCTTTCCAAGTGTTTTTTTTTAGTATTTAGCAAACAATAATATGCTTGGTAATTAGTTGAGAACACTTTGGTTTGGCCCAATAAGCAAAGCAAAGTGGAGATGGACTGAGGAGAATCCAGAACTTTAAGAGGGCAAAGTCAGTGAATGTTATAAACAGTTCTGACATGCACATTAATAATCACAGTTCAGTTCCACACTGCTCTGATTGTTGGTCTGAAGCACTGACCCTGGTCCTCCCTGGCCCAGTGCATCACTGGTGGTTCACCAGCATTTGATCATCAGCCACAGGGTTACATCATCACAGATCTGCGTAATTATTACACTGATGGACACTGAGACAATATGCTGTCCTCTGACCCCTGAACGGCTTTATTAGTAAAAATCGTCATGTGGTCCTCAGAAGGGATCTGTGGTGAACGTGGGAGAGGGTCATTCAGAGCAACAGACACAACACGGAGTGTAAGAAAAAGAGCATTTTCGTTGCTACGGGCAACAACTAAACGAGTCCTTCACAGTCACAGACACACAGCTCCTTTCATATTTATAACAAGATCCCCCATCCAGCTTCCATCACCCATTAACCCCAAGTCACCTTTGACCCTTCCCAGCAGCTGCATTCAGGAGGAAGTAGTCTGTTGTCACGGTGACAGAGGAAACGTTTAATAGACTTTGACTTTCAAAAAGTTGCATTGTGAAAGGACCCAAACATCCATCCTGTTCAGGGTTGTTTCACTGACATATCTATTTATGGCAGTTTTACACCTACGCAAGTGTGTTACACTGTGTGTGCAGCTAATATTTCAAAATTAACAAGCAAATCTAATGCTATCCATCACTTTGTTAGGATTAAAGATGCATCATGCATTTCCATATTTTTGTAAACTTTATTCATGTTCATAAGTCAAAAACGACAAAGTTCTTTTACAACGAAAACAAGCATAGAAAACTGTAGAAGATTAAAACATAAAAAGAAACGATAAAACAGCAAATACAATGGCTCTGACTGAAACCTTTCTCTGTACGGAAAATTTAAAAAAGCAAAAAAAAAAAAAATGTTTTACACATTCAAATCAGATCAGCAAGCAATTTGATTCTAAGCAAGTGTGCATCCAATTTTTAATAAAATATGAAGTGAGGCAGCTGTAGTTCTTTTTATATTACTTGACATGGTGACCAACAATGCAAGTTGATTGAACATGCAATAAAATCTGAGAAAGTCCAACTAACAGGTAACCTGTTTTTCAAAGTGACAGTTAAAATAACTGAATTGATTTGTAAGAACGTAAAATTTAAGAAAAAAAAAACACACAAAACACTGTTTCAGTGTTGTGCAATTTCTGGAGAGAAAGCGTATGGCAATTTATATTGGGTAGAATTTATCGATTATTTGATGTTGTTGACCTGAATGATAAAATATAGTTTCATTCAACTTAGTCATTTTAAGTAGATTGTATTTATACAGAAGTAAGTAAAACACAATATATAAATATCCTGAATTTTATAAAAACAATATAATTAGTATCCATGGACAGGCTACGAGTATTTATTCTGTAGACATAAATGTAGCCAGGTCTCACATTTTTGAGTGGAGAAACATGATTGCAGCAAAAACTCAGACAATTACACCTAATATCCCAAAGATATACAAAGTCCAGAAAAGTCAAAGAGAATTGAAAAGCTTTTCAAGACTCTGTAAAATCTACGTTGAAGACAATTACCTGTGTCTGGAGAAAACGTGTCTGATGTGTGTGTGAAGCTGCAGAAAGAGTCGTGTTTCTGCTAAACCTCCATCCAGCTCCACACACAGATGAGATGGAGCGTAATGATCCCAGTGGGACTCGGCAGGAGTTAATAGGCCAGGGAGTCCAACAATGGAAGAAACAGTATTAGCATCGATGTTCCCCAATCTGTAGAAATACAGAAAATATGAACCAGGAAAACCAGGAACAAACGTTTTTTTATTACAGAGACACACCCAGTCAAATTGTTTTCCAGCTTTGCATTGCGTAGATGCTTTCATAGAGAGAGGAAGCTGCATGTGAGCGGTGAATGGCAGGTCATGGCGTGTTGCTGTCTAACAGTTGGTTCAGTAGCTTAAACATGAAGAAGCAGCATGAGAGGCCAGAGCAGACAGGAAGGGATGGAGTGACAAATCTGTTCGACTTCATTTTACTTTTGTTTTAATCCTCACGTTAAGAGGATTGGGAGGAAAATGTTGATGGCATCACGAGCGAAGATACATGCAGATGTTGCGCACACACTCACTCACAAAGCCTATCTTTTCTGTGTAACACACACTAATCCTCCCTGCTGACTCCACTGCTTGTTCCTGCGTGCGGGGAAGCATTCTGCCTTCTAACTAATTGTTTCAGGTTTTTTTTTTTATTTCTATTTTTTTATTTCATTTTCATATTGGTCCAATATGCTCTGATGTTCAGGAAAAGTAGAGTGTAAAGGGACCAATGAAGGGCACGAAGTGAGGCTACATTCATCACCATGGTTTTGACAGTGGGTGGGTTGGAGGCGGAGGGGGCAGTCGGGGGATCTGGGGAGGTTAAAGACGAAGCTTTGAGAGAAAGAAGAAGCTAGAGAAGAGGAAGGACCCATCTGTTCATCCCCCAGCAGATAAAGAGAGCTGGAGAGGGAGTTAGACGCACAGCGTGAGCAGGAGCAGGAAGGTAAGCAGGAGAAACGATTCTGTAGCTTTCTGCCTCTGTTCAGGCTGATTTCAGTGACCGGGGGTTGCGGGGAGTGGAGGGTGTCTGGGGGACAATCTGGAGTCTCTACAAGAGCCAAGTTTATGTCTGATGGCAGCATGGTGTGTGTGGAAGAAGCAGGCTGTGTGATGAGAGACTACAGCAGCAGATGGTGACAGTACTGTTAGCATCTGAGCAGATAGAGACAGAATCACTGTACAGCTGATTCACTTCTTCACTTCCCCACAATTTAACCACACACTGAAAATGATGTAAAGTAATGCTAAGTATTGTGAAGCAGGTGTTCTTGCAGCAGAATGTTTGGAATCAGTTGTTTACAAGTTAAAAACTAACAAGTGAACTGTGACGGGGAGCAGAAAACCATGACAGCCAGGATGAACTGACAGGATTCAGCAACGGATGCTGGAGGCTGATTCACAGCATTCTGTTGACCTGCACAATCAGACTGGATCAGGGATCAGCACCAAGGTCAGGGTAGGACAGAAATCCCTGAGATCCAAGTTGAAGTTAATAGTTGGAATACTGATGTTTATTTTGGACATTTGTTTTCAGTTTTAAAAATTCAAACTTATTTCAATTTCAGCTTTTCATTTAAATTGACTGTTTAATTCTAACTAATAATGCAGTGTCAGTAAAAACATTTCTTGAGTCTAGTTGCACATGTTCCTTCAGACTGGAGCAGACTTACAATTGCACAAAAATCTGGATGCTAACTAATTCTTTTTCCTACAAGGTAGAAAACATGATGACAGGAGGACATTTTCTCCATGGCTACTAATGATTAGATATCATCTCCAAAGTTCAATATTTGATTGCATCTTATTAATCTTACTTATTTCTGAAGTATATATAAATGTTAATCTTACTTTGTAAAACGTGTTTGCTGCAAATCTGCAAATGTTTCTATGGTCTTCAGTTCTCGTGATGGATGGTTGCTGTCCATCGTCGTCTTCCTTCCTCTTCAAAAGGTTGTGGAGACAAGTTTGGGTTTCGTCCTCGTCTGTTTGGGGAGACGACCATGCAGCTTCCTGTGACTGTTTTTACAGTGAAGTTAACAGCAATATTAGTCTACTAATTGTCTGTTTTGACAAGTTAATGTACACATATAGTTTTAATGTTCATCGTGGCAGAGTGGGCTGTAGCACCAAACTCTTCTGTCCTTTTCCCTGAACAACATAATTACCTAAACCTGACGGACGTTTTACTTCCCTCCTTCAGTAAATCATGTAAGAAGAAAACTTTGAACTCATTTGAAACATGTTCTGTGGGCCTCAGTATCTTTGCTAAATCATGAATGCATGCTTTAGCATAACGGATCTTCACAGCAGCACAGGTCTGTGTGTTGTGTTTAGATGGGAGTGTTCGCTGTCTTCTGACCTTCTCTCTGTTCGCCTTTGGATTCATTTTCTCAACGCTGCACTGGTTCATCCATTCATCTTCTTTACCTCCCTCCCACCCTGTTTGAAACTGGGAACCCTCTAACTTAATTAAATGAAGCATCTTCAACCCAACACAGCCACACACACTCCCACTCAGCAGCACCCTCCCCTCTGTACTCTATGCTAATTCCCTTCCATCTTCTGATTGCATCCCTCCGTTGTCGCCCCCCCATATCTCTGTTGGGGCAACAGTACAAATGTTTCCCGTCAGCTTTTTTCACCCGCAGCACTGACTGACTTGTGTTGGAGTGATATTGTGAGGTGAAGGTGTTCTAGCTGATATTTACTGGGAAAAACAGAGACATAGACGCAATAAAAGTTGGCATGAGATCTGGAGAGAAAGCACTGAGTGTTTCTTCATTTCTTTCAATCCTGCAGAGTGGAGCCAACTGAAGGTGCTTCCTCTTTATCTGAATGGGCAAAGACTGGGGAAAGAGAGGGCCAGCAGAGAGTAGAGTAGTCTCCTGCTGCTTTTGAACATGTTTCTCTGCTTCAAGGAGAGTCAACTCTGAGGACTTCAGTGCAGAACTGCTCATTTGATCACTTTCATTTTAAATATATCATATAAAGTGGGGTACTGCTTTCTGCTGCTATTGTCACATAACATTTTATTCAAATCAAACAATCATATCTAACATAAAAGTAGCATTTTTGTGAATCCTCAGAATATTTAGGCCAGGAACTACCTTGGCTTGGTTGAGATGTGATTGACCCCTGCCTGTTTGCTTTACATTTCTGCTGATTCAACCAGAAAATGTAACGTTCCGCAGTTAAGTTTTCTGCGGAACGTAACTCTAAATTATTCATGGAAAATTGTCCAGTTCCATATTGTTGTGTAGCAGACCCCCAAAACACTGACATGCTATTGGTGGCATTTTTATTTTTTTTTTGCTGCTGAATCAGGGACGTGTATATTTATTGAATAAATATACATATAAAATCAACAACAAAGATACTTAGTCTTTTCAATCTGTTATTTAGATTCAAAGTGTTATTCTATTCATTCCGCTTTCCTGATCATTCATGGAACTTCTTTGGAAATGTGGACTGCAGCTGCTAACATTAGCGTTGGGGTTGACTGTGCTGCAGCTGCATGTTTAGCACTGAGATGCTATTTTAGGCTTGAAGAGCTGACAGGCTAAATCCATCTAACACAATTTGAACACCATCGTCCAAACAGATTGTTTTTTGAAGCAAAAATGGCCCAAAAGAAGGAGCTGTGAAGTCCATCACTGTTGTTAGAGGATTATACTTGTGAGTCAGTTTTATGGGCACATCAGACACAATGCAAAAGTTCAAAGGGAGCCAATCAGATGTCAGTCTTGAGGTATCTGAGGTATCACTGCGTATGAAGCCCTGAAGTATCCATCCATCCATCCGTCCATCCATCCATCCATCCATCCATCCGTCCGTCCGTCCGTTCGTCCATCCATCCATCCATCCATCCAGGAGTTAAGTACAACTCTCATAAAGATGCCTTAGTCCTCCATGCAGCCATCACAGATTAGATTCCCAGAATGGTGATCTTTGCCACATGTTTTCCCTCTCTCTCTTTTCCTACTTTTCTGTTCCAGCACTTTCAAATAAAGGCCTCTAGTGCCAAAATAAACTTAAAAAAAAAAACATGATTTCTGTCAAAGTGGTCAAATTCAATTCCCCATATGAAAAATAAAAAAAATCATAGCAATCCCTTTGGTAATACGCAGCATGATACAAGCTTCTAAAGCTTGTAAAATCAGCCTAAACTGCTAGAGCAGCTTCAGCATAATGCTGACAGCAGCTGATGACTTAATCAGGAGTCGTCATGCATCCAGAGGAAGAGGAGCTCTTTGGAAGATGAGATCTCAGCATCGCCGTGGCAGCAGTATTGGCAGATTGAAGCCAGACAATATGGATCACTGTGTGGATTAAAAAAGCAAGTTGACAAACAAACCAAATACTGTGCTGATACTGCTAGCTTTAGCAGGCCTCTGACTTCTAAAAGTGAAACCTGTGACAGTTTGAAGGTACACCAGAGGGTTTAGTACAACCATCCAAATGTTCCAGACCCTTCATAAACAAAATGTCCTGGTCCAAATTCAGACTGTGCTCAGATATGAGGACATCTTAAAGTTTTAGACATTGCAAACGACTTTAATTTGTTTTTCTTCCAAAGCCTCCCTGAAGATTAAAAGATTCTAGGCTTGCAAACAGACACATAGATGACTTGTAATATGTAATATTTTCTCTGTTTTACAATGAAAGGATTAATGTCTACTATAACTAGATAAGCAAATTTCAAAAGAAATACCAATTTGTTTTTGGGGGGCATTTTACAATGTTGCTGATACCTTACTATACCATAATAAGGAAATGTTTTATTGTTGGAACATGCTTCCTATGATATAGGACTGAAACGATTAATCAGATTAACCCTGATTAATCCTGATTAACTGATTTTTGAAATGAGTATCAACTAATCCAGTAATCCATTTATTATGAACTGGCCTTTCTTTGAGTAGCCTCAAAAAAGACTATTTGCAACAAGTAGCTAAGCAAAAACGATACAAAAATATACATTTAGATTTTAGATAAAAACCTTCTGTGTCTGTAAATCTGTTCTACCCAGATGTCCTGAAGTTGTAGTTTTAACTTCACCTGGTTCAAATTCTGTCAGAAACAAAATCTCCTATTAAGTACATTTTGCCATACAATTAATTCTTGTTTAGTGCAAAAATTAATCAGTTGAACCTCCCAAAAATTGATAGAATAATCGTTCAATTAGATAATTGTTAGTTGATAATATCTTATGTTATTTCATTTCATTCTGAGTCAAATAGCTGAATGATAAACATTCTGACATTAACGCTGCAGTTGCTTTTTGTTCCACCAGGGATGGAGTTCTGGCTGACAGTCCATGAGAGCTGAGTCTTCCTGTACAAAAAAACATGCAACCAAGATGAAAATGTGGATTTTCATCCTGTGTCTGAGTAATGAATGGATGCAGACAGCTTCTGCTGCCAGTGTGACCCCAACTCCCTCGTCTCAACCCGCTACACCCACCGAAGATGAGAGCACCCAGCTGGTGGTAAAATAACAGATAGTTTTTATTTATTAAACAATATTTGATATGTGAATTTAAGTCACATTATTTTGAGACAGCAGCGCTTTTGTGAAATATATATGAAGACAAATAGCTTCACCAATATAGACAATATAGAAGTACATCTTATTTAGTAGATATGCAGCGTTGAAAGATACTCTACTTGTTTCTGCAGACTGCTATGGTAGACTAATTCACAAAGATAGATTTACACTTAGAAAAATTAACTAATTAAAGTGAGAAATTATCTGAGAATCACTTTCCACAAACAGATTTCTGACTTTAAATTGAAGTTTCAGTGATCCAAAAAGATAATGTCCTACCAAGTATGAGGTGGCTCATTAACCCAAAGAAGAGACAAGGATTTTATATAAAAGGCCTAATTACTTTTCTGTAGGACTGGTTGATCAAGTATGGCTACCTGCCCCCGTCTGACTCCTCCACCGGGCAGCTGCAAGCCTGGACAGCTGTCACTGACGCTGTCAAAGCCATGCAAATGTTTGCCGGCCTCAAAGACTCTGGAGTTTTAGGTGAGGACGACACCCGATGTTGGACTGACGGTTGACTTCTCCTCTGAGCCGAGGTTTAAATGTGAACGTATCTTTCTGTACTTGGACTGTCTAGATGAGGAGACACTGGCACTGATGAAGAGCCCACGCTGCTCCCTTCCTGACCAAGAAGGACCATCCAAGTTACTGGTCCTCCAGCAGGGGAAGGACATACGAAAGAGGAAGAGGAGGAAGAGATCTGTCTCCATGTGGACCCGCAGGAACATAAACTGGAGGTTGGATGGAAATCTATTTCGACTCTTCTTACTTTGCCTAATTGCACATTGGTGTGTATCATTCATGTCATCCAAAAAATGTAAACCTTTTTAGACCAAGGGAAGGCATGCTAGGTCTGGTTTAAAAGAGAGCACTAAGCTTGCATTTCATGTTGGAGTCAAAATGGTCTGATCAGATTAGAAACTGGGGGCTCGTCCAGAATACCAGAACTTGCAGCGTAGCCTAAATTTGAGAGCAAAACAACCCATACCTGCGTTAACTCCTGTAATGATTATCCCAAAACAGACAGTTGACTAATATTGCTTTTATTTAGAAATGCTCACAGGGAGCTGAACAGATGCACAAACAGATGAGGATGCAAACCAAGCTTGTCATTTTATCATAAACCTTCTGATGAGGAACGAAGACGGCGAAGGAAAACAGCTGCCAATCATAAGAACGGAAAACCCTCTGTGTATTTGCAGATTTTCAGTAAACACTTTTTATAAAGTAAAAAGATTAATCTTCATATACTTCACGAGTCATCAAGATTAGTGAGATGCAATCGGATATTGCATTATGGAGAAGGTACACGTCTAATCAATAGTAAGTAACTACCCACTATCATGTTGCCTAACGTACAAGCATATAAACCTTTGTACGTGTTTAAGCCTCCTCCAGTGTAAGACAAATATTGTCTATGACATAGTGGAATAAATCATGTTGCGTAAATTCAGAAAAAGTCAGAAATTTGAACAAATGAACAAACAATTCAGTGGAGAGAAGGTATGTGTTGGTTTGTAAATAAGTTACTTGCTTTGTCACTATAAATAGGTGTGGTGCTTCTCCAGACTTGAACAATTAGAAGCCACGACTAAACTGGCAGTAACAACTTAGGAAACAATTGCATTCCGTTCCCTGTCCATCATGGTGCTTCAATGTGGTTAAGTGAAGCAGTTGTAAAGCATCAATAGCTCATTGCAACCAATGTTGCTTCATTAAATGAACGTGACAATGTCTGTCACATTGTATGTTGCAGTCATGTGTGGTAGTGTTTGTTTCATATTACCTTTGGTCTATTGGAGCAATCTGGCCACATTTAGTCTTTTAGTGGAATCATGTTTTAATTTAGTTGTCTTGAAGTTAGTAGCTAGTAAAAGAGTGAAACTGAACCCAGATGGGATAACATTATCTTGTAAACTAAAGCCTCTTCCTGGTCGCTTTTAGTTGCTTTACAAATAAAACCTACTTCTGTTTTTGAAAACGTAGCAGCTGAGGATAAAAAAATTAATATCATGTTGACCTCAGAATAATACAGAACTGATATTTGTGTCGTGGTGGTGTGCTTTGAAGTACAGTTATTATTGATAAATCATAGTTGAGGCTGATACATTGTCCTTTCTTTTTATTTTGGTAGATGTTTGAATGGTTGATAATATTGCTGAGTCTATTACTGAACACAGATCCTGTGGTTTATGTTGCATGTAAGGAAAACATGCATTGTGAAGCTCTATAAAAGTGCAGTTATCATTTTTCTTTCACTTTGCCCTTTTCTGCTACTCACACGAGTATTTTCACCTTTTTAGGTTGCACTCCTACCCTTCCTCTTCACACCTGTCCAAGGAGATGATTCGTTCTCTGGTCTTCTATGCTCTAAGAGTCTGGGCAGAGCCAACGCCGCTGGAATTCCATGAGGTCGGCACATTTGTTTTATGGTGCCTGTTAAAATCAAATAAAATAGGCAATTCACCACTGAGAGTTCATGAAACAAATAGGGGCAAACCTCTTATCGAATAATCAAAACTTGGATAATTAGGTTTCAGTGAAAGGAAGTTGTTCAGATTATTGAGGCAGGGGGCCAAAATATTTCTATCCACTAAAATGCCAGTGAAGTGCCAAAGTTTGTGGTTGCCATGGATACTTTTGTTGGGTGTTGTACTCTGTTTATTTGTCTTGAATCCAGGTGGGCAGCCCAGAGGCAGCTGACCTGCAGGTAGACTTTCTCCAAGGTTACCATGGTGATGGCTATCCCTTCGATGGAGCGGGCGGAGCAGTGGGTCATGCTTTCTTCCCTTCAGATCCTGCCAGGGCAGGAGGAGTTCATCTGGATGCAGAGGAGCAGTGGGCTTTCAGACAGCCGGGTCAGCCTGCACTTATTTATTAATGAAAAAAAAAACATAAATAGTACCTTTATTTTAGAGTGTTTATGCTCTCCTCCAAGAGAATGGTGCACTGGGCAGAAGGCATTTTACACATATTAATCTGCCATTGCACACCTGTTGGCAAAAAGACTCCATTCATCTGACTTTAAGTAGAAATCTGCATGATTGTTTAAAGACCAGAGAAGTGTTGTTTTACTACATTGTAATTAGTAATTTAATCAGCTATATTTAAAAATTTCTACCAGGTCTGGAACTTTAACACGTTCATTTCGATTTGAACTTAGAAGCTTATAGTGTTCAAATTTTTAACACAATTAATTACATTTTTGATTTTTTTACATACATTGCATGTATTGAATCATTTTTGGTACACCATAAATCTGATGCTCAAAAACATGTTGTTTTAAACAACACAAGCCAAGAGAACTTGCTACACTTGGATCATGTGATTAGTTTTAGCTTCATAAATCAATGTGACTGGACCTGGAAAAGACTATTGTTGTGTTCAACTTGTGCTGAAAGGAGTTAGCCGGTCAGTGAAGTTATTCAAGCCTAAAATAGCATCTCAATGATAACCACAGATGTCCCCAATGCTAACATTCCCAACACAACTGCTTGTGTTGGGAACAAGAAAATAATTGGGCTTTTTTTCTGGCATTTTTTCTGAAAATAATCTCAAACTTTTTATGTAAGTGTATTCCTTTTGTTCTATATACAGTGGCTCCAATATGAATGATCATGAACTTCTCTGATGTTGTTTGTATGGGTCTAATACCACTTTGCACCAATCTGATGGTTGAACAAACACCATCTTAATAACAATAAATGTCTTGCTTGTTGCGCTCATATGTATATGATTCAATAATTTTTACAGCAAAAATAGTTTTTTTGTTAAATTGAGAGTGTTACTTGTTTTGACATTGTACAATTTTCAGTTTAACATCACATAATTAATTACAGACCCTGGAATTAACTAAGTTTTGCATCACTGGTTGTGATGTTTTAACTCTTTATCTGTGAATCAGAAACTGGAAATGTTTTGGAGGCACAGTTTAGTGGATGTTTGTGGTATTGCGTTTTAAAAAGATCCCTCTGCTCACTTCATGTGCAAAACCATTTGTCAAAGATCACCCCGAAGGTTCTTGGGTTGTAGTTGGTTCATGTCTGTCCAACAGCGCCATCCTGTGGTCAGAAACGAGCTTTAAAAGACACATCTACTTTGTGGTAACTCTTGTTTATCTGTGTATATTCCCCTCCAGCTTATGAGGGCACAGACCTGTTTACAGTGTTGGTCCATGAGTTTGGCCACGCTCTGGGCCTGGCCCACTCTTCGTCCCGCCACTCGGTGATGAGGCCATACTACCAGGGTCCTGTTGGAGACCCTTTGCACTACCGCCTGGGACAGCAAGACCTGGAGCACATCACTCACATCTATGGTAGGAACATCACTACATCACTGCCACATGACAACCTTGAATGTAATTGTAAGTAATTGTAAAGAAGCACAAGATAGATGAACCAAAACGCAACTTTTATTATATCTGAGCATCTTCGTGCATTGGAATGAAAACATGCAAGGATTTAGACTACAATAAAGACTGTTTTCACTCTTAGTTCAATTGTCAACTTTGGGAAGAAAATGATGTTTGTTCCTTTTTCAGCTGGTGCGCTTTGCTTTCACACTGCACTGAGTCAAATAAACCGAACCCCATGAGGGATAACATTATCCTGTAAACTACAGCCTCTTCCTGGTCCTGACAGCCTCTTCCAATGCAACTCAGAGAAGCAATAAAAAAACCTCTGAAGACACTGAGAGCAACTTTTTTCTTTGCAAAATGAAAACCAAAATGGAGTAAGAGTCAGATTTTTAGCGGCTATAGGATTTCTTTTTGTCTTTGGTAAAACAAAATTTAGTGCTAGACTTGCTTATTTATATTTTGGTTGTATTTACCCAGAATTATCTGTGCTACAGTCTGATTCCTGCTTTTAGAGCGGTCTCTGGTTTGCTTCGTGTTCACATATGCATTTGAACCACTGCACCAAATTTCACTTCAACTGAACCCAGGACTTGGTTTTAGATGGATCAGAATTCATGTTTTTGATCCTCATCAGAGTTCGATTATACATTCAAACCTCCACAAATGAACCAAACTTTCTAGGCAAATGAACTAAAGTTAAGCTAAAAGGGGCTGATGTGAATGCATCCCAAGAGGTCAATAGAATATGTTGGCGGGTCTGACATCTGCTGTTACTGACTGCTGTTTGCTGTCAGCTTTAACCTCCACATTGCCCTGCCATCCCATGTCAAAACCTTGTATTGTAAAGCATCAGAGGATCAGAGGAAGGGAAAAATCTGGTGAAATGTGGAACTGATTGCATCATTTCCTTTCCCAGAATACCCTGAAAACTCTGCAGACATAGATGCCTGTCTGCATGTTTTCTCAACATTCCCTTCTCTTTGTGGTGGTTACTTTTACCACGTTTGCAGATAAAAGTAACCAACTGGTTTTAAGGGTTTTATGTGAATAACCCCATTCCTGTTGTGTGAGGTTTAACAAGTTCAATGTATTTTAATTTCCGCTGCAGGCAAAAGGAACCAGCTTCTGCCGACAGATGCTCCTCATCTTACAACGGAGCCTAAGCTGCACCACAGAGTCCATCACCATCATCACAGACATGGGTTCGTCCTGTACAAAGACAAAGACGGAGACTGTCACAATGGAGTTGGGATAAGCCATTCATTCAAAATGCTTTCAGTGTTTACAGCTAAAATTCTGTATTAGTACATTTTTCATAGTCTTTCTTGAAGGCCAGTGATAGCGCTGAGCTCAGAGGAAGTTGCACATTCAAGGCTTAAGTGAGTAAAAACGTAGCCAAGAAAACCCAGGGTGAGTTCATTGAAGTAGTTGTATGTAACACAGTTTAGTAGAGCTGGAGGGGAACTGAGTGACACTTTGACAGTAACAGATGTAGGATCAGCACAGAGTCAAAAAGTGTGTGAGTGATGGAAACGAACACAAAAGACAGTTTACTTATGTTTTGGCACCAAATGAATCACCATGAGTCTTTTGACTCTGTTTTTGTCCCTTCAGCCCTCCCATAGATCGCTGTAACACCAGCTTTGATGCTGTGGCAAAGATAAGAGGAGAGACTTTCTTCTTCAAAGGTTTGAAAGTTGCCATAGTTCCATCAGAATTGTTAGAAACAATAAATAAATTAAACTTGTTATCTCTTTCAATGTATACAAATGAAGATCCACTGCACTGAACCCCATTGAAAGCCTCATGGTTATTCCACCAAATATTAATTTCTGAACCTCTTCCACAATGAAAACATTAGTATTGTTGTTTCTAAATGAACATGAACTTTTCCTTCGCATTATTGAGTTCTTTTTCATTATTTTGACCATTTCTCATTTTCTGCAAATAAATACTAAAGTTTTGCTTGGAATTTCAGAGACATGTTGTCATGTTGTTTATAGAATAAAAGAACAATGTTCATTTTACTCAAACATTAACCTGTAAAAAGTAAAAACATAGAAACTGATCATTTTAAAAGGTCTCTTAATTTTTTACAGAGCTATCCATTGAGCTTGTAGCTTATAGCAACAGTAGCTAACTGCATGTGCTTCTGAAAACATTTATAGCACAAAAAGACAGAAAGACTAAAATAAAAAAATGAAAAAAATCTATAAACTCTATTTATCTTTAATATAAATCTCTGTCTCTATAAACATCATCCTTCAGTGTGCTGAAGGCTCTCATGTTTCCTGTTTAAGCTGTTGATCTGCCAATGTTGCCTCCAATAAGCACATTCTGGAGGGACAACTAGAAACTCTTTCTTCAGCTTTGTAACTTTCAGAATAATAACATTTGTGTGACATCATGTGTTCGTTGGTGTCGCTGCAGGCCTGACGGTGTGGCGGGTGAACGGTGGGGGTTTGGTGTCAGGGCGTGGCGCTGCAGTCAGGAGGTTGTGGAGGGGTTTGCCCCCTGACCTGCTGCGCCTGGACGCCGTGTTGGAGAGGCATTCAGATCACGCCATCATCTTCATCAGCGGTAGACCTCACCACAGTGTTCTGTCCTGACCCAGTTCCTGACATAAAATCTGTATTTGTCATAGCTATATGTAGAAACATTGTTTGGTTCTTTATCACGTTTAGTCAGAGTTATTCAGTAGGTGTGAACTCTTTTGCAGTGTACAGCTTCAGCTGCCTTACCTGGACACTGTCTGTGCTGCTGCAGGCTCCAGGTTCTGGCTGTTCAGAGATCTGGCCCTTCAGGACGGCTACCCTCAGCCCCTGACTGCTCTCCGGATGGGGGTGAGCCTGACCCGAGGAGAGCCCGATGATGATGATGAAGATGAGGCAGTGCGGGGATCTGGACAGTGGGCCCTGGTGTGGGATCCAGAGGAAGGACCTGTGTGGGGAAAAGTGGGAGATTTAGAGGAAAAGAAGCAGGAAGACAAGTGGAGTCAGCTGCTTAGGGACGGTGTCAGCGGCATCACCACCGATAACGATGGTGAGGAAGTGAATGGCCTTGGAATGTGTTGGAACCTCTGCTCTAATTTTAAATATGAATAGAAATCAATTGAAGTGGAATTCAGTTGCTTGAAGGGCCAGTTATTTGTGTTTTCCAGCCAGACACATGGTTTCATTTTATAGCACAATCAAGTAACTACATTAACTTAAAAAAAAAAATCTCCAAAACTTTACAATCAGTTATGACTTAAAAGAAGTTTGACTTCATAATTTAAGACCTTGCAATTGGACCTCTGTGTCTTTAAAACTCCTGCTCTTTCTGAAACTTCAGAAACCTTCAGAAAGTCGTAACAACATGGCTCCTCTGTTAACCCTTTAGCTACATTTGTACCAGCGTTTCACTGAAAACTAGCTCCTATAATGAGCTCAGGAGATGAGCAGTTCTATCAGGTGTTTGCTGTTTGCTGCTGGCTAGTCTGAAGGAGCTGAGTGAGGGAGATGTGGGGGAGCAGTGAAGCGGAAACTTGAAAGCCTAGAAACTGCAGCACTTAGGAGGGGCTGCGTCTGGTATGCTTTAGATGAGAAAATCACATTATGACATGATGTAAAGCTCAAAAAATGTGATTTTACATAATGCTGCCCCTTTAAAAATAAAAATTTAAAAAGTTGGCTGAGTGTTTCGTCTAGAAACTGCTGAAGTTATCAGTGTAGCCTTGTCCCTGTTGTAAATTTCTTCTCCCACTTTCAGGTTCTGTTTATCTGTTCAGAGGAGATTCCTACTGGAAGTTCATGTTTCCAGGTTCTGCACCGCAGGATGGTTACCCACGATCCTCCGCTGCAGACTGGTTGGACTGCGTCGACTCCTCATCCCCTCCCGCAGTGGATGACTTTTCCCTGTCTCTGTCTCCTCCTGCGGGAAGACAAGAGCTGCGTGAAACACGGAGGGAGGACGGGCAAGACGGGAATGTGGGAGGGAGCAGGAGAGACAGACATCGGCATCAACCCAAATACAGACAGGACAGCGAGTCACACATCTGGACACAGTGCACATGCCAAAGCAAAGCACCAGCTGGCAGCAAAGCATCTGGGTTGTTGGTTTGTCTGCTGGTGACGTGGTGTCTGACCACTCTTTAGAAAATCTCATGTTTTTATCAGGAAAGTGTTTGTGTAACTGTAACAGAATAAATCCACACTGCAGCCGTAAAGATGTAGTTTTAGTTCAGGTTAAGAAAGCTTTAGCATGTCCGTTGGAATCTGTCATGATTGCATATAATTTGCCTCTGCCGGATGTAGTAGAGAGACCTCGGGTCAAAGTACATCAGACTTTTCATGCTTTGTTTTTGCTCAATTAGAATGATCAAAACCATTTCTATTTGCTGAATGCCAGAAAATTTAACAAGAACATTTTTAGATTTTTATTATTTTTATTTTTTTATTTTGTAACTTTCCTTGAACTCAAAAGTTTTCATACATTTGGTCAGTATCAGGAATATCTGCCTCTCAAAATGTAAGACTTGGGTCAAACTTTGTGGGCTTCCTTCCATAAACATTTAATAGGTTAATTGGCACATTTTTGTGAAACCTGTGGATGCATTTCAGGGCCACTCCTGAAACAGACTGCTTTCCTGTTTGACACGATGGGAAAGTAAAAAACAAAAATCTGTCAAGATATCAAGAGGAAAATTGTGGAGCTGCACATGTCTGGATCATTTGTGGGAACAATTTAATGGGAGAGAATTCCTGGCTTGTTGTCTCTACTCTAATTTATCCCAAAGCTGTTCTGTCCCTCTGTCCTCAGTTGTCCCTGTCTTTACTTTGTTTTGTGTCCTGGTACACAGTCACTGAAGGAACCATCCACCTACTGTTCCCACAAAGTGTGAAGCTTGTAATTCTCCAAAATGTCCCACATGCTGCAGCATTAAGAGTTCCTCTCACTGACACTAAAGGGCCAAGCACAACTCCTGAGAACTGCCCCCCTCCGGAATCCCTTATGCACCAAACAATACACTTGACAAACCCAGACATGTCTGTCTGATGTGGACATTTATTATTAAGGAAGAAAAAAGTCAAACCTACATGGACCTGTAAGTTTGAATTTTGAGTTGTTTTGTGTGTGAAAACAACTCAAAACTCAAGGGAAAAAAGTGAACATTTCTGTAAAATTATGGAAAATATTTTCAATCAGCAGAACATTCCACCGGACAGCAGAGGGCGCTGTTTGGTTGACATCTCGGTGAGAGACTATATGTTGGTGCTGCAATAAGCTATTGTGGGCTCTGAAGCTATGAAAGCCTAGATGAAGCTTTTACTATTTAGTGTTGGGATCAAATCTGAATTGTAATTTCTTTCTATATTTGTCAATACATATAACTGCAGCTATGAATGATGAGATAATGACATGACTTTGTGTCATGTCATTATCTCAGCAGTGTTGTGTGTAATGTGACTTTATTTGGAGTGATGAAAGTGTTTTTGTGTCCCGTGAAAATGTCTAGCCATAAGTTTTCAGTATGTAATAAAGTTACTGTGTTCCAGACACCCACATTTAGATCATGTATTAGAACATCAGTCAGTATTAAAAGAATTACCAACAGCAGAGGGAAGACTTCTGTCAGTTGTCAATGTACCTCTGAGCAAGGCAGATAACCCCAATTTGCCTTTTCATCTGCGTACCAGTGTTTGAATGTGTGTGTGCGTGTGTGAGTGTGTGGGTGTGTGTGTGCGTGCGTGCGTGGGTGTGTGGGTGTGCGCGTGTGTGTGTGTGTGTGCGTGTGCGTGCATGGGTGTGTGTGTGTGGTTGGGTGAATGTGACTGTGGTGTGAAGCACTTTGAGTGGTCATGTGAGTAGAACGGTGCTATAAAATTCACATCCATTTACCTGATAAACCTTAATCCAAGAAAGACATTAAAAACTGGCTAGAAGTTGAGCCACAACTCATCATCCATCTCATTGTATCAGAACCAATCAGAACCTGTGGTTTAATCTTTTAATAAGCCAAATGGAGAGGTGGGGTACAAGCTGTTGTGTGATTGGTCAGAATTGTGCGGGCTGCCACTCAGCTTCCACAAGCTGGTTTCTGAGCCACAGAGCAGGATGGATAGCTTTGAGGAATCGAGACCTTGAAGACTGAAACATGAAACTCCCTCTGCTCTGTTCTGGTCCGATGCAGCAGGAGAATGTCTCACAGATGTCTTCGGTTCTTATTTGCTACTGACATGTAAATAAAAATAAAAATTCTAACTCATCAGTCATCATTCTCCCCCTCCAATCTTATAATAGACATTCCTCTCATTGTGTGAATGTGCCATAACTTTCTCCAGCTGAACAGAAACAAAACTGAAGTTATTATCTTTGGACCCAAAGAGGAATGATCTAGGCTTAGCACACAGCTTCAGTTATGACAGATAGAAATCAGAGATCAGGTTGAAATCTGGGAGTAGAGATGACCTCTGATCTGAACCTTCAGAGCTACAAAGGTGATAGAACTTGTCTTCTATCACCTGAAGAACATTTCCTGGATGAAAGGAAGAATGTCTCAGGTTTAGAGAAACTCATCCAAGTGTTTATCTTTCATTGCACTGATTATTGCAGCAGCGTCTACACAGGATCAGACTGAAAAATCAGCCAGACAACTCCAGCTGATCCAGAACCCTGCTGGAAGTAAGGTAAGGTAAGTAGTAACAGTTGTTTCACTCTGTAGAAGGAATGAATGGCTCAAATAAGTCGAACATGACTTAATTGTCATGTTTGTGATGGATGGCTGTAACATTCTGACCAGAGTTGTAAAGTTCATTCAGACAACAGTCATCACCTTTGCTATAGTTGTGCCTGGAGACCTGCCTCAGCCTTGTGACCTTCCACATCGGAACTCCCCCACCTGGATCTGTTGGCTAAAGTGGAAGCCTTTGATTCCACATTATCTACACCAGTTACTGCAAGTTCAGAGGCAACATTGCTGTGGTTGCCCCATTACACTCATAGAGGGAGCTGTAGTAAGATAAGCAGAAATCCTTCAAACTCAGCTCTACATTAATCGTTTAGATAAGCGCAAGGAAAAATGTGTCAGCTATCGTAAAACACGCAGAGGCTCAGCTACACCGCAAAAATCTGAGGTGCTTATGTAATGATCTGCTCTTACTAAATTCAGTTTATTAATAGATTCAATATCAAGAAAGAAAGATGCAAAGGAAAACCTCTGAACACAACAACTTCTGTTCTTCTGTGTAGAACAGGAATTCTCAGGAAGAGTACAGTTCAGTGAATTGAGACAGTTCAGAGGAACAGTGCAAATGTTCACTTTCATAAATAGGCCTGTGGAAAACCACGTGGTGGTGTGTTCTGAACTCCTCGTCACGGCACCGAGATAAGACAGGCGACTGCTCTCTCACTTTCTCTTCCTCTATCTCAGCCATCGTATTTTGCTCGGGCCGCATAAATCCCTTTCCACCTTTAAATTAGTCAGCATTTCAGAGTTAACAAACAAGGACTTTTCTCAATTTTCAGGTTGACTAATAATCTGTTTTTCTTTATTTTTAAGATGTATTTGTCAAGATACCGGTGAGCGATGAGAAATGCTTCCACACTGCAAGCTAATAATACTCTATGTGACAAGACAATGTAAAATATGAACAGCAGCTCCACTATGTTGTTGTGTGGTTATCTCCATTCGAACAGATTTCATTATTTTACCTTAATCTTTGACACAGAAGTAAAGCTTTAGTTCAAATAAAATACAAAAATATCTAGTATTTTTTTAAATTTTATATTGTAATCTGAACTCTTCTGGATATTTATGAAAACAGAACTTTCCTCAGTTCCGTTCTATTTACATATAGATTGATTTGGATGAAACGTTCCAGGAGGCAGCAGGCCGTCTGAGCAGAAACAGAAAAAATTCTTGCTGATTGACATTAAATGATATATCCAGTGAAGAAGCAACTATGAGCACTGTGAAAACCATTCCAACTGGGGGAGTTATTGTTGTAACCCGATTAAAAATAATTTATGTTCTATTGGGCTCATAAGAAACCTGCTCAGTGTTAACAGAATTATCTTTGAAAACAGATTCAGGTGTGTACACTATGCATTCCATTGAGGCTTGTTTGTCAGAATAAAAGTAGCTTTTGAAAATAAAAACCTTTAATGAGATAACATACTTTCTGCATTAAACTTTTTTATTGGTCTGATGTAATATTAAAATTTTTCAATTAGCTGCAAGCAGAAAAATATTGTCATTAACAAATAAAGACTTGGAAACATCAATCTGTGTTTAATTATATAATGAGTTTCTCTGTGTGAGTTAATTTACTGAAATACATTAATTTAAGCTACAATAACTGATTGCACAGTCATTTCACTCTCCCTGTGACCTCTTAAAGCTCCAATTTGTAACTTTTATTAAAAAAAATATGCTTTTACATATTCCTTAAAATTATCACCATGTTGTAATAGTATACAATGAAACAGATAATCTGTGAAGAGATCCATCTGCTCCACCTCATCCATGAGCTTTTATCGCCATCTGAAGAAATTCACCACTCCTGACCAAAAACAACCAATCAGAGCCAGGAGGAGGGCCTTAGTGCTGTCAATCAAACTCATGTACTCAATGCAAAATATGTGAATGGCAGAGAAACACCTTACTGTTACAGAAAAACAGTTTTGCTGCCGTTATCGATGACCTTGCTAACTAGCATGAGCATTCATGACAGGCGGCGCTGATGGGGAGAAGCTGTTTTGTAACAGAGAGCAAGGGAGGAGAGTGAGCCATCATATTTTGCTCTGGCCATATTTGCAGAGGGTGACTGACACGCTAAACCCGCCTCCTGGCTCTGATTGGTTGTTTCTAGTTAGCAATGGGAGAAAGCAGAGGAGCTCAAGTTTTTTCACTGATTTTCTGTCTCATCCATACTGTCACAACATAGTGGCAGTGTCAACAAACATGTCAAAAAATATTTTAAAAAAAAGTTATTTACTGCAACTTTAAACACCCACTCAACACACTAGTTTGTTGCATGGATGCTGCATCTGCAGTGGAGTGGTCTGTCATGTGTCAGTTTACTGAACACTGGATGGTAGTGAGTGAAGGGCAGTGATAGAAAGAACGAAATTGCAGAAACAAGCGGCCCAAATGACTTTTTTCCACAGGGTGTCTCGACTATCCCCTACAGACAGGGTGAGAGGACTAATGTCTCAGCCAGATCTAGAGAAACTCATCCATACGTTTATCTTTAGCCTCATTGATTGATCTTCACAGGCCTGTCCAACAAATCAATCCTCCAGCTGCAGCTGATCCAGACGCTGCTGCTCCTGTTCTCACTAGAACCAGGAAGATAGAGACATAACAGCAGTTTTACAGTCCCTCCACTGGCTCCCTGTAGCTCAAAGAATAGATTTTAAAAACTGTTGTTAGTTTACAAATCACTGAACGGTTTAGCACCACAATACATCAAAGATCTGCTGTTGTTGTATCAACCTTCCAGACTCTCAGGTCTTCTGGTTCTGGTCTGCTTTGCATCCCCAGAACCAGAACCAAGAGAGGAGAAGCAGCTTTCAGCATTTATGCACCAAAAATTTGGAACAAACTTCCAGAAAACTGTAAAACAGCAGAAACCCTGACTACCTTTAAATCTCAATTAAAAACACACTGTTTAGAATTGTATTTGAAATGTAATATGTAACAATGTATTGTTTATTATGTGTTGCATGACTTTGTGTTCTTGTGTTTATGATGTAAAGCACTTTGAAATGCCTTGCTGAAATGTGCTATACAATTAAAATTTGATTTGATTTTGATATGATTTGGACATCCAGAAGAGACTCAGAGTAGCTGGTCGCCACAAGTATCAGAGACCACTCCATGTGGAGAGAAGCCAGGTTAGGTGGTATCTGACAGAAATCAGTTGCCCAAGTATCCCACAGAGGAAGACTCAGAGAAATTTCCAGTTGCTGATCCAAGTGGCTGATCCAAGTGGCTGAGAGGGAAATCTGGGTCTCCCTGCTGAGGCTGCTGCCTCCACCACCAGACAGGCAGAAGATAATAAACCGACTTGAAGGCATCAAATCATACATTTTCAAAGCATACATCAGTTTTACTGAGGCATCATACTGGGCCTGAAATAATTATATCTTCTATTTGAAATTTGATTGTTTTTGAGTCAAACTGACAGAATACCTGAGTGATGAGGGGAATCTAGAAGGACAATGCTCACTTTCCCTTAATAAGGACCCAGATAGACTTTAAATCTCCTCAAACCATCAACAAAAGCACTTCAGAAATATTTTCATTATAACCAACATTATACATATCCAATTTAAAGCCAGTGCTTTCATTTTTACGTGTTTGATACTCTCCATAAATCATTAAAGGCACAAAATAATCATAGAATAATTTGTCTTCAAAAAGAAATATGCTGTGGAATTCCCAAGGGTCTAAATTCACTGAACTCCAGCAGAAAACTCCAATCAAGAATATTAGGATGACATTCTGGACATGACCTGAGAAAGGATTTTATATGAGCTGGGAGACATCACTGTAGATTATTTCATACCTTTTGTTTCTGCAGAACCATTTTCCAGCTGCCACACCAAGAGGGCCTTCGA